TCCATCTGAACACAGTGTAGCTGGGAGAGGGGACCCTTAGGAGCCTGTTGGTAGAGAAATCTGAAGGCCTACTGAAGACCCAACACCTCTGGACTTCTCAGAAGTCTATCCATGTCCCGGAATGCATGGAGAAGGGAGGGCTTCAAGTGGGCCACAGAAGAAAAGGAGTTTAGCCCCTTATATTAAGTCCAAGAGTAGGATAAGCTACCAGGTTTCTGCTCTGAAACTTCACCATTTCACCCTACCATGATGGTTCCCTAATCCATCGGGAAATATGGATGTGGCTGAAGTGATGGCAAGAAAATTATACAGAGTGAGTGCCTGCACCTGAAGAAACAGGTGTGTGTGTGTGTGTGTGTGTGTATGTGTGTGTGTGTGTGTGTGTGTGTGTGTGTGTGATTTGTCTGAGAGATCCATGTCCTTCCAGACACATAGTAGGCCCTCATGATGGATGGGTGGATGGATGGATGGATGGATGGATGGATGGATGGATAGATGGATGGGTAGATGGATGGGTAGATGGATGGGTGGATGGATGGGTGGATGGATGGATGGATGAATGGATGGATGGATGGATAGATGGGTAGAAGGATGGATGGGTAGATGGATGGGTAGATGGGTAGAAGGATGGATGGATAGGTAGCTATATGGAGAGGTTGACTGTAAGTCCATTATAGTAATGACAGCTTAGTGACCCAACTCTGACCATGTGTACAAGTGTACAAAATGTGTGTGTAGATGGAATTATACCTCTGAATCTTCTAGACTACCATCTTCTATCAACATGAGTCCCTGGCATTTGAGTGGAGGTTGGACAATACAGCTTTGCCCTGAGTTCCTTAAACCTTTGACTTACCACCATGTGGGCTGAGTTGCTCAGCCAAGGATGTCTATGAATTGTCAATTCACTCATCTCTGCCTCCAGAAGGGCCTGTAATCATTAAGCCTCTGAGCCAGGCAGTGGTAGCTCACACCTTTGATCCTAGCACTTGGGAGGCAGAGGCAGGCGGATCTCTGAGTTTGAGGCCAGCCTGGTCTACAGAGTGAGTTCCAGGACAGCCAGGGCAACACAGAGAAACCCTGTCTCAAAACAAAACAAAACAAAACTGAGCAAACAAATGGTAAGCCTCTTGAAGGTTGGGATTGATCCCTCAGGGTCCCCTGGATCTTGAACTTGGACACAGGATACTTCAATCTCAAACCCAGAACCTACTGACATGACTGAAGGCCAGCACAAAATAGCCCTCCAGTCCAGGGAGCCACTGGAACTTGAATTGGAGAATCAAGAGTCTTTTCTTCTATCTCAAGACAATGAGGATCATACAACTGATGGAGACCTTCCCATCCTAAAAACACCTGCCTCAGCCCAACCTCCTGATACATTCAGTTTTTCTTGGATTTCTAAGCACAGCTATCCAGAGAGTCTGGGATGCTCATTCAGTAGCCATTACTCAGTACCTCCATGCTGAGCCCTGTGCACAGACTCACAGGTAGGGAAATAGGTTTCTGCCCTTCCAGAGCCTTTATCCTCAGAGGCCAGGATGAGAAGAAGAAGTCACATGATAATATTGTCTCTGTCTCTCAATATGCATTGGAGGAAACTGAAACCAGTTAAAAATCGAAGGCTCTTGACTTCTACTCTGGGGTGTGCTGATTGCGACACTGAGATGCACGTGCAAATAGCGGTTGTCAGACACTCGCCAGGACACAGCTGTTTCTGCTTTGAGGATTTCTAGCCTGATGCCAGAAAACCCCACCACACCCTGGGTTGACTAGAGACGGCTGCTGAGGCAAGCCTCCAAACCCAGGCCCCTTCTTATGACTGAGGAACTGCCTTCTTTCCAGAAAAACAGCTGGAGCTCTCCGGGGCAGCAGGACCTGGAATGTCTCTGCTGACTCAAGGAAAGTCCCCAAGGGAAACATGCTGGTCCACAGCTTTGGCAGTGGTTCAGAACTGAGGACAGTGGGAGATTCCCTCACGGTGGGCTACAGAATATATTCTGAATTCTAGGCTGTGAAAAGGGACCACGGGAGGGGGGGTGGGAGAAGGGAAATCTATTTTTGTGAAAGAGGAAAGATTTTATTATTTTTTGGTAAAATAAAAGATACAAACAAAAGCAACCACTGGTGGGAAGCTGTGTTCTGGGTGCCACATGGGTCTTGGCAGATCATAGGAGAGACCACTAGAGTGGAATTAAGACATTCTGTCCTAAGCTCCTGGACCATATGGGCACAGTCATGACTGACTAGCTTCCCAGTGTGAGGAAGTCTTGAGGTAGGCATGGGAGGGCAGTGCAGGGCCTTGCCTTTAAGGTACTCACTCATTCGGAGGGGGGAACTCTTTGTTTTGACACTGGCAATCCTGGTTCAGGGTGGTTTGGAGGAACCAATGGCTAAAAGTGCAGTAGGAAATACAGCCACAACCCCAATCACAGAACAAGAAGCCCCTCTCAGAACTCAAAGTAGGGGAGGTGGGACAGGTTTCAATCCAGAGCATATTCCCCAGTAGACAATCAGAACTCACTGCCCCCAAACCACAACCACTCAGACAGGAATTAAAAGCAGCTCAGTTCTGAAGATTCAACAAAGGTCCTCTTATACCTTCAAAAGAGCCGGCAAGGACTCTACCTGGGAAGCAGAGGCCTGAGCTTCTGGCCTTCCCTCTATTAACCACTTTCTCTCTATTTTATGGTCAGAAGTGGTAGGCTACCAAGATGGCTCAGTGGATAAAGGCTCTTGTTGCTCAAGATGTCAGCTTGATGACCTAAGTTCAAGTCTCAAGATCCATGTAAAGGCAAAAGGAAAGACACCATTCTGGCATGGGTACCCACTCACATCACATACACAGTAGTAATTTTTTTTTTTTTGAGACAGGGTCTCGTTATGTAGTGCTGGCTAACCTGGAACTCACCCTGTAGACTAGGTTGGCCTCAAACTCACAGGGATCCACCTTTCTCTGTCTCCTGAGTACTGTGATTAAAGGTGTGCACCTCCACACCTTGCATAAATGTTGTTTTAAAATAGAAGTGGGAGTGAGGGTCTGGCCTCTAAGCTCCTTCATCCTCACCCTGTGACTGGACGCGATAATAACTCAGCTAATATGTGCCATGTCTCCAGTGCAACTGCACCAGCTTGACATAATCAAGTCCTTAGCCAGCTACCTGCCTTTCCTCCCAGCCCCCAGTATCTGCTCTAGAATCTGGAAGGTTCTGCATTTTGCTGCTCCTTCTAATGCCCAGAGCCCAGTGTGCTAAAAGAGTGGAGTTATCAAACCCATTGCAATCATTATCTCTTCAATCACTGGACAGTCCAACTGTTAGAAAGTCCATGTACACTGTGGAAGTAAGAGATATATCTCAAATTTGAGACGTCTGGAAATATGTTAGGAAGGACATACGCACAGACAGACACACACACTCTTGCTTTGAGAGACAGAGTCTGCTTAGAGGACAAAGGGAGAGCCTCGACCTCAGTAATGAGAAATCTCACCCCAACAGACAAAACCTAACAAAAGCAGCTTACCTGGGAAGCCAGAGCTTTGTGGTCTTGTTGGCTCAGGGTCTGCATCAATTTAGGGGACAGGGAACAGGGAATAAACTCTCCTCTCCACCCTGGGGCAAAACAACCCACACTGAGTAATGATGCTGGATGACCTGAAGCTTTCGTGAACCCTGTGGCCACTGCTGCCACAGTATGGAGCTATGGAATGTGGTGGAACAGGCCAGAGGAAGGTCTGAGTTCTACATGGTTTGCCCTCCTTCCTGGGAGCACCCCAGAGCCTTTATCCAGTGTTAATTAACCATCATGGTTGTCATGGGGAGGGGGTAGTAACTTTGAGAATCTGGATCCCAATATATGCCTGAGTGACCCCAGACTGATTAGCTATTGAGAGCTGGGGAATAGGCTAGAAAGGCCTGTGAAGATATGAAGTTTGGTGGGACTGGAAGGTTATAAGTTGAAAGAGATGGCAATATCCAGCCTTCGAAAAGGACTCAAATTCGGAAAGGAACTAAATACAAAATCTAAGGAAAAGATGCCCCTTTCCAGTATTCATCTAGATTGGAACTCTAGCAAAGTCTTGAATACTTCCACTTCCTTCCCTCATATAGTTGAACACACAGGCCACAAGAGGGAATTAATGTTTTCGAGATGAGTGACAGGAAACCCAGACGCTCTTTAAGCCCCTTACTCACCAGACCCTAACAACAATACTGAATGGGATAGGGAAGTTTACTTCACCACACAAAGGAAAACTGCGTCAGAACCTGAACTGAAGCCAAGCACCCTGTCTTCCCGTCTCAGGCACCTGCAGCCTGTGGAAGTGAGGCAGGGAGGCTGGTTGAGGTATTACTCTAATTAGTACACACACACACACACACACACACACACACACAGAGCAGAAGAAGAAATAGATCTTTAAGAACATTTGTTTTAGCTGGTGTAGTGGCGCACATCCTTAATATTAGCACTCGGGAGGCAGAGGCAGATAGATATCTTTAAGTTTGAGGCCAGCCAGGTCTACATAGTGAGTTCCAGGCCAGCCTGGGCTACATAGTGAAATTGTTTAGAAAAAAATCAATTAAAAAAATGTTTAATCACTGGAAGTAATGTTTTACTCAAACTCCCATGAACTTCTGTATACACAGACCTTTATATATATAAATTTTATAGTCATGCCCGGTGGTGTGCGTCTGTAATCAGAGAACTCTGGAGGCTAAGTCAGGAGAAAAACCAGTTTGACGTCAGTATACAGCAAGGCCTGTCTCAAAAATAAACTTTACTTAACAAAGCTGCCCTCAGGTTTATAAAAAGCTCCGTTCTGGCTCGAAGAAGTAACTATTTGCACCTGCAGTATCTTCCACTTTCTGCTTGAAAAAGAAACCGGCAACAACCAGTGAACAATCCGATACGCTACGCCTGCGCAGTGTACTGGCCTTGCCTCTCGCCACGTGTGGCCCTCGGGGCGCAGGCGTGACTCCTCCCCCTCACGCCCCCTTGTGCCCGGGCCCGCCCCCTGAGTTTAGCTCCGCCTCTTCCGCGTTCTCGACTGAGACCTGCAGGTGGGGGTGCGCGCGGCCGTTCCCGCGGTGGTCGACTAAGGTAAAAGTGAGCTGGCGAGGAGTCCCCTCGGCGGGGAAACGGGGCCCGGGTCTGGAGTACGGCAGTGCAGTCGTCCGGGAGGGGCAGTCAGGGCCTTCCGAGCAGCTCGAGGTCACGACCCAATTCTTCTGCTGAGGAGCAGCCGAAGGGGACATCCTTTTAGAACTGCCCTCAGAACTGCTTCCCTGCCCAGACTGCAGCAGATAAAATCCTATTTCGGGCTCTCACCCTGTGCCTGTGGGCCGGCTTGAGTTGTGACAGGTCGGAACCTGGTAGATACCGACTGTCTGTCGGAGCTCAGCCTATATGGAGTTTGAGCCTCAGACCAAACAAGGATACGCTCAAGACTGTGGCAGGGCTCAAGGCTCAGAGAGTCCACTAGCATGAACACGTTATAAAATTTGTGTACTTCGTTGTGTTAAATTGACTGTTTCCACTTATTTTGCAATACAGTGTATAAATGCTTCTGCCACATTTTTTTGGCAGAGAGGTAGGAGTGTAGGTAGGATGCAGCCTCTTTCCTATAGCTATGGACCATCAGAGGCTAGGAAAGAGCGTGGGAGTGCTTGACTTTGGGGGTCAGCCATGCTTTCCCTTCGTCTAGGATGCATCCTAGAACAACTCATGTTTCTCTCTTAGAGCTTTTAAAAATGGATATAATAATGTCACTGTGAGGGTTGTGTATGATTATATGTACATTGGTGTACATATAATGTAATGCATTACATGCAATGGTACTGATACATACTGTTGTGATTTCCAAGAAAGAGTATTTTGGTCTGGCATATTTTAGGGAGGCCCTAGGGGGGAAAGCTGATGTAACCTGAGCCTTGGAACCTCTGGGATTTACCCGTGGAATTGACCTTGCAGTATGAGGAGGGAGCTAAAACTTGTTGACCACAGGCCATGTGCCAAGAACCAGCTGAGTAGTTGATGTATAGTGTTTCCCTGGCTCCCCGGTCATCAAATAGCTTCAGCCCACTGTCCTTAGCTTCTAAAGGGGCCTGGGCTGGGAGTGCTGGGAAGAACAGACACAGGGTCAGGACTGTATAGATGTGAACTGGCCAGGAAGTTCGGAGCCCCTTCCAAGCATCTGTTCCCTCCTCAGTGTTCCTCTTTTTATAATCGAGGGTCTTTGGCTTGCATAGGAGTGTCATTGCTCTAGTGCAGATTTGGCAGTCAGAGCGCCTGGCACCAGCTAGCCCAATCATGCAGAGAGAAGTTCTGAGAACAAGCTAGCAAATTGCAGCACATGCTTAGCTAGGAAGAGCATGGCCTCCTGTCCTGTGGTCAGTAGTAATTCAATAATATGGCACCTTCTGCAGCCTCTTTATGGGTGCTCACACCACATCTTATGACCTCCTTGGTGAAGCTTCTCATCCTCCTGCTGATTGGATGCACCCATTCCAGTCACCTGTAGCAGAGACTGAACTTCCTGTAGTCTTCTTAGCCAAGTCTGTCTTGGGGTTCCTCACTCATATGTACCCTGACTACAGTTGGTGGCGAGGAGCCAGATCTATGTCATACTTCCTCTTCATGGTACAGGACTGGCACATAGTAGATCTCTGTAATGCTTGTGGTCAAATGAGTCAGTGACTTTTTTTTTAAACTCGGCTTTGGTGTTTGTTTTACAAGCTGTCAAGATTAGAAGGAGACCTCATGTTTTCCTTCATGGCTAAGGAGGGCCCTGGTTTAGATGGATCTTGCCCTACTTACAGGCATCAGAGGCACAAAGGTGCAGAAATTCTTCATGAACCAAGATTCTTCATTGTTGTTATTGATTTCAGGCCCTGGCCTTGCTATTGTTGAGTTTAGTTACGAGAGGAGTTGTGCAGTGTTCAGGGACCTGTATAGTTTGTGATATAGTTCAGGGATGGGAGAGTGCACAGGTGGCTGACTAATCAATTGTTCTGCCCTTGGCCTTGGTAAACAGTAGTCCATGTGGGCCAGCAGCTACAAATTCACATTTTTCCTTGCCAACAGCCCCAGCATATGGAATAGAAACTTCTTAGTTGAGATAGATATATATATACACACACACACACACACACACACACACACACACACGAAGGCAGAAAGAGCATAGGAACCATCTAGTTACACTACCTTTAACTTATGGATGGGGAAAGACTAAACAGGATTATACAAGGACTCAGTCGAGGATAGAGAGTTCTGGAAGTGACATGTCCAGGCACTTGTTTTTTCCCACTCTACTCTAGTGAATTAATTAATTTGAGACAGCATTTAACCATGTCTCTCTGACTGGTCTGAAATTCAGTTATGTTCACAAGCTGGCCTTACACTCAGATCCACCTACCTCTGCCTCCCAGATGCTGGGACTAAGGGTGTGTGCCACCACTACATCTGACCTTATTTGTATTTTTTAATTGTGCATGTGTGCACATGAGTATAGGTCCCCAAGAAGATCATAAGAGGGTGTTGGATTCTCTGAAGCTGGAGTTTTAGGTCATTTTGAGCCATTGAACATGAGTGTGGGGAGCTAAACTCAGGTCCTTTGTAAGATTAGCACATGCCCTTAACTACTGAGCCATCTTTCTGGTTCTCTACAAAATTAAAAAATAAAAAACTTAAACGAATTGATTGTAATTCTTTGAGATGGACTCATTCTGTGATACCTAGGCTGGCATCAATTACTAAGCACAAGAGAGTGAGTACCCTGCCTATGAGGGCTCCCAAGTAGCTATATGTGGTTGATAAAGCTAACATCTATCAAACACTATGGACTGGACTATAGTTTTAAGTACCTTAAACTGTTATGGACTTGGAAACCAAGGCAGATGGGAACAATTTCCACTGTTTTCTGGTCTTACAGTTCTGGACTTTTAGTACAGTTGTCATGGCAGTCACCTACCCAATGGGGTGGAACAGTTCTCTGGAGAGCTTGTTCCAGGATCTCTCCTCCTCTGTGAGTGAAAGCCATCCTCATGCTGAAGAGATATCCCAAGAGTATCCCAAGATGTGCCAGATGGATGGACAAAGGAATGACGCAAGTCCACATGAATACTAGCAGATCTTAGCTTGGGAATATGAATATACCTATATTGAGCTGGTTCTATAGCTTAGTGGTAGACCCCTGGCCTAATGTTTACAAGGCTCTGCCTATGATACCAGGAATACAAAATCTGTCTGCTTATTGTCATCCAGTAAAATGCACAACTTTAAGAAAAAACTCAGTCCTAAATCTTTCAATAAAGATTCCCACTGTACGAGGGAAAGATTCCATTCAGTAACATACAAAGCTCTTGCTGTCAGAGAGCCTCTAGTGTAGAGAAATATGCACCAATGATAACAACATGTCTCTTTGCTCTGCTATAAGTAATTGTCTCCTGGAAGCCTTCTCCCTCGTGTATTGTTAGGAAGATGGATCAGTACATAAATAACTGAAGTCAGATTGACTTGGGTAAATGAAACCAAGTGGGGGTTAGGGAGGAGGAGAAATCAATCCCTGCATGATCAGATTCCTAAAGGTGAAGACATTAGGCCGGAATATGGAGGGAGTTCATTCTTGGGAGAAAGGGCATCTGGAGCCATGTCTGGAGGCAGAAATGCATGGAAGGGAACACACACGCACGTGAGCACAGGCACACTGGGGAAGAGCTGTGGGCTGTGAGGAGAGAAGAGAGCTAACATTCAGCACGTGTCTGCCTTGTGGCCTGCAGTGAGCCACACAGTTTACCCACTATAATTTTCTTAATCCTCACAACCTCTGTAATAGAGGCATATTTATCCCTAATTTAAAGACTAGAAAACCAGACCTCAGGAAGATTACAGTAGCTTTGCTAAGGCTGGGTAGCTAGTAAATGACTGCATGGTTCACACAGAAGAGTTGAGTTCAGAGGCTCATATTCTTTCCATTATGCTGCAGGGCTCTGGATGCCATGATAAGGCTTCTGTTGACCATGGCTGTGGGCAGAGACAGACTGGAGCAAAGCTTCCAGAGAAGGGACATGAATGAGGCGGCTTCAGCTGTGAAGCACTGGAGATGCCCAGTCTAAGTCTGCTTATCCAGGTTATGTGAGCCTATGGCTGCTGTCACCATGCTGCTAGTCAGCACATCTCTGTCCTCTGCTCCTACAGAGGCTGTGGGCACCCTTGGATTTTAGGTACAGGTCCTGTGATACAGTCGACAGCACTGTAATGGCTCATTATTTTTTCACCATCAGATTCAACAAGAATCTGTGCTGGACAGAGATGGAGCCAGGAGTCTGGCCTTCAGTCCAGGCATTTCTCCCCCCACCCCCCCATTGTGGTTCTCCGCCTCCTTTCCAGGTTTGGGCTCACTTGACAGCTCTTCTGTCTTGCCAATGCCATGTGTTGCTTTGCTCTCCCTGCCTAAAGATAAAGCAGAGAGGATGAACCTGGATTCAGAAAGAAGGGCTTAAACCCCAGACTCTTCCCCCCCCCCCAGGGGAGGAAGCAATAGATAGTGTACAGACTTTAAGTTGAACTGTCTGGGTTTGAGCGCTGGCCCTGTCACTGGCTAGCTGTGTGACTTGGACAAGTTATTTAACTTTGCCTCATTTCAGGTTTCTTCATCTGGAAAATGGGGTACAGATATTCCCTAGATCATGGGGCTGCTCTGAGCACTAAAATGACATTAAGCAATTCAGTGGCCAGCAGGCAGCAGATGCTTAGTGAACAAAAGCTGTCTCAGTAGCAATATTAGTACATAATATTACATAATAGCCTGTTTGGTACTGATTTCATGGGAAGTGGTGTGTGTGTGTATACAAATACTTATTATGTATAATATGTACATATATATAATTATATATAATATATACATGTATGTATAATATGTACATATTACACACACACATACATGGCCACTCTCTCTCCACTGTCTTCCTCTGACGTTGCTGTTCTCTCATTTCATTGTCCCATCAAGAAGCTTAGAAATGCTCAGTGATTCCATCATAGGATTCCAAAGCATGACACCACAGAAGTACTCAGTGGGAAACAGTCCATCAAAACGCCGATGGCTTGTTAGAAAATCTCACCTGACTCGGGTTTCCCACACCTGTCTCCAGAGTAAACAGGACCAGAGCAGGTGTTCATTTCCTTTCCACAGCCTTCAGCAAGAGTTGCAAGCAAGGCCCCTTCAGTTCAGTTGCCAAAAAGAGCAACAATATGGTGTCTTTGGAAAGTGGTGTCTAATTTAGCTCCTCCCAGCTTAAGCACAGCCCCCACCCCCACCCCCAGCCTTAACTTAAGCGAGTTCTTATTGTTCTGTCATCCATGAATATGGAAAAGTTCCCTTTGATTATAAAGGGGGGATGAGATCAAGATTTTTCTCATGAGAACCTTTTCTGTACTTTTAAAGCCAAAATCCAGTTAGGCCTCATCTTCGCTTCTCCAGGCTACACCGCGTGGCTGCTTTCACCTCATCCCCAAAACCTATTTTCCATCGCTCGGATCCCATTGGTTATGCTGCTTTTCTCTCTCTCTGAGGTTTTCCCTCTTCCTGGCTGTGACCCAGACTCCGCTCAGTCTGCTAATCAGAGTCCAGCTAAAACAGTTTAGGGGAGCATGCTTCAGAAGTCTCATTGACTCATTAAGTGATAGCTCTGTGCTAAGTGGAGGGACCCAGCGCTGACTCAGGCTAGTCCTCTCTACCCTGGCTCAGCCTAAGGGGAGACTGTGATGAAGCGTCACAGGTAATCTGGGGGAGGTCTTGGGATTATTTAGGGCAGTCGAGTAGATGCAGCTTTGACCCCTTTGGCTGGACTACAGGTAAAGACTCCTGGAAGAGAGGGTAAGTGTACTTTAGGAAGGCGGATCTGGGCAGCATGAGGGAAGGGAAGCATGAGTCACCCCAGCAGAGGCAGTGGCACCTGTTAGACATCTAGTGAAGACATTACAGGCTCAGGTCTAGCTTTTGGGATCAAGGCTGGAAATACCATAAACCTTAGCCTTTTCTGTGTCCCCCAGATGTTCTCTATCTCAAAAGTCAAATGATGGACCTCTGTGTTCTGTGAGTCTCAAAGTTCTTGGTAAAGTGGCCCAAAGAAATTAGGAGTAGCAACAGAACAGTCAGGCTAAGTGGACTCTTAGCCTCCTGTGTATAACTAAAACAGCCAAGCCCCTTTGAGGACACAAAGTGTAGTAGCTTGCTGTAGTTTCCAGAGTGTCTGTTGAGGTTGCTTTCCAGAGCTGTGATTGACATGGGGAGGCTGTCTCACAAGGTATAGTAATGCGAGTTATGGAGTGCCTCTTAAATTCTGGGCGTTGGTGTCACAGTTTGACATATACAGTCTAGTATCTCACAGCGTATGTTTTTGTCCCTGTTTTGTAGATTATGTCAGTGAGGAGGGGTTAAGGAGTGGGCCTCATGCTGTTAGATGATGCCAGGGTCCCAAGCTGAACCTAGAACCTAATGTTTGAAAGCCCATATGCTTTCGACTTCCTCAGCTCTAGAGTGGCTCCAAATGGCTGAGAATACAGAGTCTATCATGAAATTCTGAATCTTGCTTTTGGTTTTGTTTACAGTAGATGACTTGTTGGCAAATTATGGTTTGCCAACTGTTTTTGTAGGTACCGCAGGCTAAGAGTGCTTCCTTGCAGCTTTAAGTGTTGGGAGATGGAAAACCAAAAGGAGATGAACATTTCATGAGACACAAAAAGTATGTGAAATTCAAACTGTGGTGCCCATGATTAACGTGTGGTTGACATATGTCATCATCACTCATTTACATACAATCTGTGGCTGCATTCTTCCCTAAAAATGGAGCAGATGAAACAACGACCATGCGGCACACAAAGTATTTACCATCAGGCCGCTGCAGAAAAATAATTGCTAGCCTCTAGTAACACTAAAGGCAGCAAGTTAAAGTTCATAGATGTAGTGGGAACAGGAAAACAAACCAGCCAAACTTCCTTGAGCTCTGGAAATAGTTTTACTGAGCCTGACAGAGTCCTTTGGGAATAAAAAGCACAATAGGGCTGTCCAATGTGCTGAAGTCTCTAACAAGCAGTGAACAGGATACTTTGTGAATGAAGTGGTTCATTCAGATTCACTGGAGCCCTTTTGTGCCAGATGCTACAGTAAATGCTAAAATGTCTAAATGAAAATATCTACATCCTGTCTCTAAGGAGTTTACAGGCTGGTGGGAAACTCACAGTGTGGATTTTGTGTTGTAATGGAATGATGGGAGCTAGGTGAGATGCTGGAGTCAGTAGAGAAAGAGGAGTCCAGGCCACTTGTGGTGGTGTCCTCTCTGGTAGTGTCCTCTCAGGAAGTTGCTGTGGGCCTTGAAAGATAAATGGGAATTCCTTTGTCAGATTCTCTGGCACTGGAGTTACAGATGGTTGTCAGCTATCGTGTGGGTGCTGGCACTTGAACTCATGTCCTCAGCAAGAGGCTCTTAACTGCTGAGCCATCTCTCCAGTCTGAGGAGTCCTTTGTAAGGAGCTATAGACAAGGCTGAGGGAAAGGTCTGGCAACATGAGCATTTGGAACTCATATAGAGTGGGGAGAAATGACTTAATGGTTCTGACTAGGTGGCTGGCAGGATGATGTAATCGGATAGAGAAGAAGAGAAATCAGGAGGAAGGAAGCCACGGTAGGGGCTGGGGACAAGTCCAGCTTGGCAAATGTGATTTGAGGTAATGTTGAAATGCATCCAGTTTCCGGTTAGAAACTCAGAGACTTTGGCACAGAAGCTCAGAATTTATACTTAAGCACATTTTCAGTGCTTTTCCCTAGAGAAAAGAGGAAGTGCAAGTGTGTTTCGCAGAGCAAAAGTTGAGCAACTTTGACACATGATGACTAAAGCCAGAGGGTTAAAAGCAGCATTGTGCCTACAGAAAATGAAGCCATCACATTGGGAATCAGCAGTGATTGTTTTGGGCACAAAACTGACTCCATTCTTACCACCTGCTACTCTCAGGGTCTGCTCTATCTTGCTGGCACTGGTACCTCTTGCCTGTAAGACTTGGGCCTAGCCACCAGGAGCAAGCTCTTAAGCACTTCTCCCAAACAAGCAGCTGGGAAGCGTCAGCTTGAAACCTCTGTGTGAGACTCTCAGAGCCAAGAAAAGGCTCCATCTCTGTCTTCGTGGCAAGATACATCTTTTACTGCCTAGAATCCACAGTGGGAGCAAATCTGAATTTTTTTTCTTTATTCAGACCCTTGATAAATCTTCTAGTGCTTAGCATCAGGATTTTCAGATGCCCACCAGTCAGCTTTTAAAGCCTGAGGTATCTGTGACTCCTGTGTGTACACCTGCTTCCAAGTGTCACTCACAGAGCTGGGACACCTGGGTTGATCAGCCTCTCCTCTGGTCTTCTTGGAGAAGCCAGCAGTTTCACGCTCTCTCTCCTTCTGCTTCTTGAAGATTTCCGTGCTGGAGGAGATGGAGCAGAAGCAGGTGACAGACTGAAGGACATTGACTGGACAGAGGATAGTGGATAACTCCCTGTGACTGGAAGACACCAATTTTGGGATTCCTCTGAGACTTCAAGTTCTCCAGTGTCCCTGCTGAGTTGAAGAACCTTGTGGGTAAGATTGGATGTACACCCCCCCTCTTCTTTAAAGCCTCATCTTTATTTATTTTGTGTTCCTTGGGGATGGGAGGATTGTATGTTGTATGTGGCCGTCACAGGACAACTTTCACATGTTGGTTCTCTGCTTCTGCTGTGTGGGTTTCAGGGATCAGACTCAAATCATCGGGCTCGGAAACAGGCTCCTTTATCTGCAGAGCCATCTTCCCAGCCCCCACTTGCTTCTTTACATTACTTTGAATTGAATGTTTCCCATATTTCCAGAGAAAGGCGTGAGTTGATGGCTTAGCCTTCTCAGGTCCCAGTAACTTCTTGCGATGGTTACTTAGTATCAGGATCACATCTCTTCTGGAACAAAATGGCAGAGGGACAGAAGGAAAGTATAACAGTAAGTAAAATATAAAATAAAGCTGCCACACTGTAGCAAGATGAAACTGGGTTCAAGATGGAAGTGTCCAAGGTGAAATTCTTGTGTTCATTGAGTGTTGTTCTTCCCAAGGAAATGTTGGAAATTCTATCTATATCCCAGACACAGCTCATATACTGAGGTCATGGCATGTTCTGTCCTTTGCTCTAGCTGGAGGTCTCATCATGCCAGGCAGGTTATCAGTCAAGCCTCAGTGACTGATTTGGGACACATGAGGGTTGAGTAGGGTTGTTTTAGCCTGACCTGTGACACAATACCAGCTGCCAGGTGTCACCTGTTTTCACCTGAAGCCTCCTGCTGGCACTGCCATCTTCCCCTACTCCCTACCTCCTGAGCTCCCACCCCACGTTCTCTGTTGGCACTGCTGTTTGTACGGCTGCCTTTGGCTAAAAAGCATATCTTTATACACCTACATTGAGGTCTCACTCTGTGGCTGGCCCCTTTAAAGTGTGGTCATAAACTATGATCTTCTCCTCTGTCTCCAGTTGTTTGTCAGGACAATTTCAGCCTCTGTGGTTTCCTCCCTCATTCTATAGCATGCCCTTCCTGTCTCTGCCACCCTTGCCTCTGGTGTAAGCCTTCCTTACTTCTCTCTGACCTGCTGCGGCAGCCTGTCTAGCCCCTTCTTGGAGTGGCTGCTGTTTGCACCGCATATCATAGCTGGCTGGAAGGCCACAGGGCTCCTGGCTCCCTCCTCATTGTCCAGCACAGAGGTTCACAAGTGTGCCACACAGAAACCCTTCCAGGGGATCTGCAAGACCAAAAGGTTTCAGAGTAGTGGTATTATTTGTCCTGTATTATTTGTTGCTGTGTGGTGACAGTGGGAGGTTAAGGGAGTCACAGGAGCTGTGGTCCTGCCCATGCCATTCCTCACTGCCACCTATAGAACAGCCACTTTCACCTAAGAATGCCCTTGACAAAACAGCAGAGGTGTTAATTTTACTGAATCTCAGCTGAGGACCATCTTCTAACATTCTGTATGGCATATAGAAGATGCACTTACAGGGTACTTTTGTGCAGCAAAGCACAATGAGGATGTACCAAGGAATGCACTGGTAGGACTGTTTGGATTATAAGCTGAGTAACAAGCAGCTGTTGTCATTCTTCCACAGGAGAGTGATTGTTGGTTATTAGGGTGGAAAGAAGACAAGGGCCAGTGTCGGAGCACCTTGTGAACTGTATTAGTGAGCTTAGATGACTGGCTTAGCCTGCTCTTCTCAGCCTTCATACTGTGCTCCCTACCCAAGCCCCGCCCTTTACTACTGGTTCCTTTTGTATTCTGTAAACACACACTTCCTGTCCCTGCTTCTCTCTCCTTCCCTATCTCTATCCACCAGGAGTTTCAATGTGGCTGTAAAGGCTCCTGGTGATCCCAGGATGGGAGCCGAGGGAGAAGATGAGTCTAAGGGTGTGTCTCTGGGTATCTGAGTGTCACAGCCCTCTTGAAGGGCTGCAAAGTATCACCCCATGCCAGTTTCACTGCTGCTGATTTGAACCACATGGCCCAACCCTTCTATACATGAAGATCTGGAGGGAACAAACCTCTCCAGCTCTGTGGAATCTCACAGACAGTACTCTGATGGAGTTCATTTCATACATGGCTCCTGACATTTATCGTCTGTTAAATTTGACCAGCTTCTGCTCAAATATGCCTTTTCTTTTTCCCTTACACCTAGTGATGTTGCCAGAAACCACATCTACCAACTCCCAGGTCAGACGGGAGAAGATTGTCACTTTACACTTCATTCTGGACTCCCATGAATAATGTGCTTAGACACTGGTTTGTAGTTCATCCTCTATAAAATGACAAAACACAAAATACTAAGGTATCTCAGAGCAAGAAGAGATTTCTGGAAGGTTAACGTTATTAACATAAAGGTGAGGATGTAACTCTTAGGCCTTTGTGGTAATGTAAAGCAGAGGAGAGCTGCCCAACCTTTTGGACATTAGAGCACGTACAAGGACAGCCGTGTAAACTGTGAGCCGGGTCTCATGATACACAGAGCCTCCGCTGCTGTGATAAGGCGTCATGATCAACAGCCGCTGGGGAGGAGCTCAAGCTAGGCAGGAACCTTGAGCAGGGGCTGACGCAGAGGCCGTGGAGGAGTGCTGCTTACTAGCTTGCTCCCTGTAGCTGCTGCACCTGCTTTTTTATAGAACCCAGGACCACTAGGCCAGGGATGGCCCCACCACCATTAAACACTAATTAAGAAAATGCCCTACAGCCAAATCTTAGGGAGGCATTTTCTCGTCTGAGGTTCCCTCCTTTCATTCAGGTGACTCCAGTTTGTGTCAAGTTAACATAAAACCTGCTAGCGTAGTACATCAGTAAAGAAGACCTGTACCAAGATTTATAAAACAATAGCATTGATGCCACCAGCTGCCACCAGCTGCCACCTTTGCCTTGGGACAATGGGAGGAAACTGAGGGGCATTAGAGTTTGGGAACAGTGTCATGACAAGTTGGAAGTTTACATTCTTTTGTTTTTTTGAGACAGCGTTTCTCTGTATAGACCTGGCTGTCCTGAAACTCACTCTGTAGACCAGGCTGGCCTCAAACTCAGAGATCCACCTGCCTCTCTCTGCCTCCCAAGTGCTGGGATTAAAGGCATGAGCCACCACTGCCCAGCAGGAAGCTTACATTCTTGAACCAGACTCCAGGCTTCAGTTCTAGCAGTGCCACCCACTCGCTAGGTTATGGTGTGCATATCACTTTTACCCGTTTGTATCAGTGTCTTCATCTTTAAAATGTGGACAAGAATGATGCTTATGTCAGAGTTGTGAAGACTGCATCAATGAGTTCGTAGAGTGTGATACCTGTAAAGGGCTTCAGACATTGCCTGGTACACGCGGACCACATGAGAATGTGCACTGTTTGTATGGTAGTGTGCACCATAACTTCTGCAGCTACAGAGGCACGGATGACCCTAGTCTCTCATGTTCCCTCTTCCCTTGTCTAACAGGGCTTACTCAACCCCCTCCTTACGTGTGTCAAACTTCCTTCATTTCCTTTTCTGTTTATGGTCTTGTTGCGGTGGGTCGTGCGGATGAGACCTGGTCCTGTGCATGGTAGATGAGCATTCTCACTAAGCTACCCCCAGCCCCTCGGTTTCCTCCCATTGTCCATTCTCCTCAGCTGACCCTGAGGATGCAGCTGAGTTTGTCTGTAATTATGCCCTTTAGCCTGCTCCCCACCATTCTTCCTTTTCTAGAAAGCTCTTGAGGATGAAAGAAATACTCAGACAGACTGAGTCCTCCAAGGGCTGCAGAGGTGGAGTGGGGAAGGATGAGAGCTGTTTGCAGAGCTGAGTTAAGCAGGTGGCCCTCTGGTATCAAGTGTGAGATGTGACGGCGGGTGATCGGTATGCCGTCTCCATCAAGGAACAGATGCACGTCTGGGGGACAGTGGGGCTGACTCATCAGGCTCAAGAGAGAAATGGCAGCTATTTTTAGAAAGTAGACCTTGATGCTCTCTGCTGGGGAAAGCAGTGGCTAGTATCTCTTATTATTATGGGTTGTGCCCCCACCCCCAGGACTCCTTGGGCTCTCCCAATTGTTTCATGTGTGGAAGTACCAGGCTAAGTCTTAGATATGTATCCTTAACACCTGCTATACTCCCAGTGCAGTCTGTTCATGTGGGTGTGTACTTGGGTGTGGTACATACATGCAAGTGCAGATATGCGTTTGTGCAGAGAGGTGTGGAGGCAGAGGGCTGACACTGAATGTCTTCTTCAGTTGCTCTCCAGCATTTTCTAACTAGAGTCTCATGGTATATAGCCCTGCCTTGACTCTTGATTTGTAAACCAGACTGACTTTGAACTCACAGAGATCTCCCTGCCTCTGCTTTCTGAGTGCTGGGATTAAAGGCCTTTGCCTCCACATCTAGCTAAATGTTGAATTTTTATACAGAAAAATCTAGACATAATTTGAAAAACTGTAATCAACCTCTAAATTGCAAAGTATATTTGATAAAAGGTTTTTTTCCTTCCCCATTGTTGAAGATCAAAACCAAGGCCTTGAGCACGCTGAGCTCTGTCACTGAGTTCCTTGCATGCGCGTGCGCGCGCGCACACACACACACACACACACACTGCACACTGTGCACACACACACACACTCCACTCAACCCTGAGCACCATGTACCACCTCTAGCCCGTTTGTTTTGTTTAAGTAAAATTTGATTCAGACAATAATGGAATAAAATGATAAATTTCAGTCCCATATAATTCGGAAAATCCTGTAAAGAATGAAGAAAATAAAAACTATCCCATCACATAGAGCATGTCTACAAATTAAAAATGGTCCAGACTTAAAAGAGCATATAAACTCCCAACATGGCACTAGATGGTCCATTGGCACACTGTAAATTACAGGTTCATGTATTTCCACCTGGACTTCCCATCTGTTGTACGTTCATGTGTGTATATACATGCCTATGCGCACACAATGCAGTTTTTGAAGCACATCTGTATATTGATTATGTCATTGGGCTCTTGTAGCGACCTGGCAAGTAGACAGGAAATGTGTGTTTTTAACTCTAGTCCGAAGATGAAGGAATTAAGGCTCTTAAGAGGCAGAGATGCTCAACCCTGAGGCTGTCTGGTAAAACAAGCACTAGAAACTCTCCTTTGTTCTCCTGACCCAGGCCCATGTGCCTCCCCTGTCCAGAATGTGCCTCTCCTGACTCCATGTGCACCTCCACCAGAGTATACAAACGTGCCCCCCTAGCCCTGCTGACACAAGAGTGAAGACTGCAGTCGGCCTGGAAACTGAAAACAACTGTTCCTTTCCTTTTTATGTTACCTAGTCTGAAAGAGGACCGGGCTTCTAGAAAACAGACTAAGGACCTTGTGTGTCTGAGACCTTTTTGGAGAGAGAGTGTGATGGAGTTGATGGGGTTCATAGCCCAGAGCAGCCTTTCCTCACATCATCTACAAGATACAAGCACACCCACATGTCTTTTAGAATGTGCACTGGGCATTTAAGGGGCTGGGTGCCATGCATCATATGTACCATATACTATTTCCATTTCAGTGCAGTTTGCGATGGATGATATTCATCTATGCTGTACTGTGACATATTGCAGAGACAGGTATGCAGGATCAGTGTGGGAACACAGGGAATGATCAAAGCCAAAGAAAAGCCTAGTGTATTAATGGAGCTTCTCTCAGACACTTGGAACCAGCCCCTAGTTCTACACAGTAATACCCCACTTGCCCCATGCCTAACGGACTTCCAGTGTGATTGATTGCATCCACCTTAGCTCATCTGGAGTTATTGGGGAGCTGCACAGGGTGAAGACTTTTGAGCTGGCTTCAATGGCCAGAAAGAATCCCTACACCAGTGAATCAGGCAGGCAGAGGTGCAGGATGATTGTGGGGCTTCCCTGAGGATGCATTTGTCTAGTGGCTGGGACATACTGAATTAAGGTCTCTGTGATAAAACTAGAGTGTTGTCCACCTTGTCCCAGCAGCCCCTCCCACCCCATACCTCTTGCTAGGAAAACAGGGAAAGTTAATGGTTCTTTCATTTCACTGTTCCCCTGCATTTTTCCTTCCTAGTTTTAAAAACAACTCTCCCTCAACAAGTTCTGTTTGCAAGGAAACCTTACCCATTTGTCCCTTCTGGCGCACCTTCTTCCTCTGAGATCCATGCAGAATAGACCAGGTACTCTGTCTTTGTGTGTGAAGCCATAAAATCTAATATTGAGTATGTGGTTCTGCCCAGGGGTGTGCTGCTTCCACGGGAGGCTCCACAGTCCTGCTGTGGTAAAGAGCACAAATAAACTGCCGCTAACAGGGTTTTCTGTCTAGAGCTGTAAGTATGTCTGAGAGTCCCCTGTGAGTCACACTGCTGCCAGCTCTCCTGCTGTTCTCCATGCTGCCTGCCTGTTGGCTATTTGGTTTGTCCACAGGCTCCTAATCGGAGTGTGGCCAGGGAAGGGTGAAGGAGCAGAAACCACATCCACTCCGGGTTTGCAGTACTGGTGAGGAAATAGTTGGGACAAGGGCTGACACTAGACTGCACACTGGAGGGAGGACAGTCCAGTTGTGTCCCAACCCATCCTGTCCCCCTCCCCCAAACCTTCAAAGGCAAATGACCTTGTGCTTTCTTTCTGAAGAATTTCTCCCAGTGCCCTGTAAATGCATTTTTCCTTGTGATTTACCTTATGAGTGTGGGTACTTCAGTAGCAGGATTTAATCCTTTGAGAGTTGTAGGGGGCTTTGTCGTCCCCAGGTAGAACTAGAGCTTGAAGCTGTTGGCAGGAGTAATATTTTTAGATACTCTATGGATTCTTTTCATCTGTGTGTTTTTTCTTCTCTCTTCTGGGGTGTAATTGAAAACCTGCTGTGATCAGATCCCTAACATGGAGGGAGGGATGCATCTAAGTGGGGCTGTCAGATGCTTGGCCGCTTAGCTGTGCTTTCTGGATTGTGGTGTTGAATGTGCCATTCTGCATGCTTCCTGCTAACAGCTGCCAAGTGCCTGCCTCTGTGGGTAGCATGCATGTGGGCAGCGGCACTAAGCAGTCTTCTGTCGCATCCTTGGAGAAGGGAGTGGGCTTTCCCCTTCATGAGCAAAGAACCAGACTCATTTTAAAATTTCTCAGGACAAACCAAGCCTCAGAGCCTATGTTTACTGAAGTTTGGTGTTGAAGTCTCTGACATCCTCCACCCGTCAGCTCTCGGGCGCCTCTATTTTAGAAGGATGTGGAGGCTTAATCACCCTGGTGGGGATTTAGACCCAGAGACTTCAGAGAAATCTTATTATTTCTAACTGCAGGCAAAGAGCATTAAGGCTCCGCTCTGGATCAGGGGCATGACATGTTGTGTAAGTGATTCGTCTTTACCAGGGGAAGGCCCCACTAGAGCGGCCTGGAAACAAGACCGAGGCCGGCTCTCCTTGTTCCCCTGCTTCTCTTTCCCAGTTCAGCCTCCTGCTGCATCCTCCTGTCTTCACCCTTCTTGCCCGAAATGTCCTGTGTCTGTGTCTGTCAGCATGCAAGCCAGGTGCCTACCAGGGAGAGGGAATGATGTCTGTCAGTGGCTGGCCTCCCCGCACTCTTTGGAGAAGGACCTGGGAAGGGAGAGCCCAGCCCCCTACCCCTCTTATCTTCCAGGATAAGGCAGACTCTATAGAAGGCCTTTCACAGCCCCCAGTGCAGGTCACGGAAGTCTTGCCATCAGGTTCCATCCTTGCTCCTGCCTTACCCAGCTCCTAGCCCCAGGGACCCCGTCAAAGGTGGGACCCTGCTGATTCTGTTCAGGGACTCTGGTTCGGTCTAAATCCATGTGCTAATGAGCTTGGCAAATTCAGGCTTCTGGTCGCCTCTCCTAATCTAGCTGCCTGTCTGAGTCCTTTCCCACAGTTAATGATCTCCTATAATGGTTTTGCCTTTAGTTTTGCCTCCTGGGTCAAAACAAATCAATATCCCTCACAGATATTTAAAAACCATCAGTATAAAACTCCCGGGTCTCTCTTTTCTCCTTCTGGGTAAACTTACTGCTTGATCGGTATGGTGCAGTTTCCCTTATGGTCCCTCTTGTCTCCCAGAGATGGGCAGCAGCGAGCCCCTTCCTATCGTGGATAGTGACAAGAGGAGGAAGAAGAAGCGTAAGACCCGGGCCACTGACTCTCTGCCAGGAAAGTTTGAAGGTTGGTGCCACACTGTGATGGGTCTGGGCCTGAGTGCTGCAGGAGCGGAGAGGCATTTCTGATATCCACAGGACCAGATTCCAGGACACTTCCCTTAGAGGCAGGTCATCCGTGTGATTAAAAAGACAACAGTGAGTGAGAAGCGATCAAGAGGGGGAAAGGATGGCAAACGTCTCAGGTGAGCTCTGACTTCCTCTGAATGGTCTGAGCATCACCTCAGTGGAAGAAAACTCAGTCTGTGAGAGCTGAGGGCCTCACTTGTGTCAGCTCCTCTTCAGATGTGAGCTTTCTTCCTACAGTTCCTGGAAGGTTAGAACGCAGAAGAACCAGAAAAGAGGAAGCAAAACCACTAAGGCCACAGCTGCAGTGACATGGCTGTCTTCTTAGGAGGGGAGTTGGTCTCACAGAGGCTGTGCGCTGTGTGTACTGTGTGTGCTTGACCTTCCCCCCTTGAGAATGCATTGCAGCCAGGGGACATGATGTTGCATCATCAGACATTTTGGATAATCAGGGGCAAGTCACTAGGCTGAGAGCTGCCAGGGTTATCACTGAGCGTTCAACGAGAAGATATGAATCACTGAGTGTTTCTACTAAATGGTCAAAGGATCAGCAGCCATTCTAGGAATAGCGGATCCCCTTATGTGGTGATTTCACTGTGAGGCGTGAAGTAGCTTTCCCTCATGGGTCCTTTTCCTCGCCTTATACACATTCCAGCAAGTTTTGTAAACTATTCTGATAACAAGCACTGTGAGAATCAAGAATACTTTGCTCCAACCACCTAGCATCCTGGTGTATGTAAGGACCAGTTCTGAAGGGTGTGCTGGGAGAGAGGCATGCTATTTAAATCACCTGCAAGTAGTAGCCAACAGTGTGCCATCCATTCAGATAGAAAGCTGCAAGCCCAGACTGTAACGGAATGAAGAAAGGACTTAGTATAGAGATTTATGGCTTGGTTTTTGTTCTTGTTATTGTTAAGACAGGATCTCCCTATATAGCCCTGGCTGTCCTAGAACTCACTCTGTAGACCAGCCTGGCCTTGAATTTGGAGATCCACCTGCTTCTGTCTCCCAAGCATGTGCCACCACATCTGGCTTGTTTGCTCTTCCTAAAAGATTTTTTAAAATTTTATTTACTTATGTGTATGTGTGTATTCGTGTGGTCTGTGTGAGTGTATGCCATTTAGGTGTTTGTGAATCCCCTGGAGCTGGGGTTACAGGTGGTTGTGACCCATCTGACATGGGTGCTAGAAACTGAACTCACTTCCTCTGGAGGAGCACCAAGTGCTCTTAACTGCTGAGCCATCTCTTCAATCATTGTTTGTGCTTAACTCAAACTGTGTGCCGTGTGTGTGTGTGTGTGTGTGTGTGTGTGTGTGCCGTGTGTGTGTGTGTGTGTTGTGTGTGCTGTGTGTGTGTGGTATATGTGTAGTGTGTGGTATGTGTATGGTGTGTGTGTGATGTATGTGTGGTGTCTGTGTAGTGTATGTGGTGTGTGTGTGGTGTATGTGTGATTATGTGTGTGTGGTGTGTGTATAAGTGTGGTGTGTATGTAGTGTGTGTGGTGTATGTGTGGTATGTGTGTGTGTAGTGTATGTGTGTAGTGTGTGTGGTGTCTGTGTGTGTGTCTGTGTGGTGTGTCTGTGTCTGTGTGTCTGTGTTGGGCAGTGGAGGAGACAAAAGTCCCTGGGGTTTTAGAAGAGTTCACAAATCAGCATGTCTTTTGTTGAACACAAGAGTTTCCTGTTACTTAGTTGATGTATGCACAGATATCTCATGACTAAGAGTGATGAAATCTCCTGACATTGATTAAGTCTTCTGCTCAGGCAGTGGGTTGAAAGACTAGATTGCCTCAAGAGAAAGACCGAGGAGGGGAGCAAAAGAGGACCAGGTCAGTCCAGCAGGGGTTGTGGAAGCCATGGCTCCCTTTGGAAAGGCTCCAAGAACTCTGATGTTTGCGAGCTTGGGCAGGTGTTCTGAACACTTCCAGCCTGGGTCTGTTACTGCTGAGACTACTCTGACCTGAGCTGCAAGCCATTGCTTGCATCCTGCTCAGTCTCTAATTTCCTGTGGGTGACTTTCAGGAACTTGTGAGATTCCTCCACTGACCTCCACTTTTGTGTATATAAAATAGTTGTGTAATATTATCGTCACATCCCCCATGCCTGTCAAATGAGTGCTCAGCAAATGAGTAAACGAATGAATGCAGTTTGTTCAAATAATATCCTTCTCTGAAGACCCCGGCATTGCTCAGTGGGTTTTTCCCTTCCCTTCCCTGGTTGTTCCTCCCCTTACTCCTTGTCCTTGTGCTAACCCACTGTGACACTCACCAGGGCCTGGGTTACCCTGCCTGCTGTGTGTGTGCTCTGCTCTCACTGGTACTCACTAGGGTTACTCTGGGCTGCTGGGCCTGTTTTGTCTTCCTACTGGACTCAACCCCTAGAGGGGAGGGACTAGATTTCGTTCCTCTTTGTGTCCCTATTGTGGTACCTGACACAGTAGATGCCCAGAAAGTAGGTGCTGAAGGACAGGAGTGAGTATGTGAAACCCCTGCTCTGACCTCAGCTCTAAAATGAGGAACAGGTGTCAGCCGCGTCTTGTTGAGAGTCAGGTGCTGTCTGGTAAAGCTAGGAGGTCCTTGTCACTGAGGCTGCAGAGTCACCATGGTCTCTTCTGCCTGGAGTAGCAGGCCTGAGAAGCTAAGTAACAGTACCCTCCCCATCATGGCTTGCAGTGGGGTGACTCACCTAAAGAATCTTCCCACCTGTTTCCTCTCTAGACGTGTACCAGCTGACCTCGGAATTGCTGGGAGAAGGAGCCTATGCCAAAGTCCAGGGTGCTGTGAGCCTGCAGAGTGGCAAAGAGTATGCTGTCAAAGTGAGTGTCCCACTGGGACCCTATATCAGTTTTCCAAATCATCATTCCTAGCTTGTTCCAAACTAAATAAAGTGTGTATTATGCAATATGGCAGCTCAGAAAGAAAGGTTGGAGCAGGGAGCATAGCTGTATTCACTGGGTTCTCAGATCTGGGCTTTTCTGCTTATCTGCTTTGTAACCTTGAACAAGTTATTCAGCCCTTCTGTCCTTCAGTCTTCCCATCTGTAAAATGGGTATAAATAATAGAACTTCCACAAGAGTATGAGGATTAAATTAATATGTGTAATGTACTGACACTAGTGTCTGGCACAGAGTAGACTCTTTCTGATTACTCCAGTAAGCACCATCAGCTTCAGAAGTAGAAGCTCTGCCTAAATCTGTTTTAAGAAAATTATATGACTTTGGGCAATTCACTAAACCAACCTCCTTAAGCTCTGGCTCTGGAATCTAAATGGCAGTGGCAGTTCCTGCCCTCAGCGTCTGGTGAAGTGACTATGAAGGTGGAAGTGAAGATGAGCTGGTGGAAGCACTTTATAAACCACAGAATACAGGCGGCGAACAGTATCAGGATGGCAGGGACTAATACCTGAAGGGGCCGCGCACTTGGCTTTGGGGCAGGAGGTGTGGCTCAGCTTCAGTGCTGCCTTCAGTTAGCCACATGACTCTGGTGAGTCTCACTTCTGAATTCTTTGGCTACTGAAAAGATGGAGACAGAGTTGTGGTTTTCAAAGTATGGTCCCTGAGCCAGCAGCACCCTGGAGTGTGTGAGAAATACACTGGGTCTGGCTCTACAGGGCAGTAGGCCTGGCCCAACACTGCACATGTCACCATGTGCATGAGTATGACCCTCAGTACAGTTTGAAAACTCTGGTGAAGGGCAGATTTAAACTGCAGTGGTCAGCCAGTGAGCTAACAGCACAGAGAGAGCTACAGCCAACAGCACAGTGTAGGAGAAAGCCTGAAGCTGTCTTTGCCAAGGTGCCCCAGAGATTCTGAGATGCACTGTTTGAGGACCACTGAGCTCTATGGAAGTCTTTCTGAACGGGGGAGCCAAGTGGGTTGAGCTTTTTTCAGATCAGCCAGCTGAGCTATCAGGTCTATGCACTGCCTCCTTCAGGGAAGCCCTGCTGAGCTGGATCCAGAGAAATACCTCTTCCAACCAACCCCTCAGCTGTGGATTATGACCATGAAGAACATCTCCGCTAAGCCTTCTGGCTGGGGTATTGTTCCATATAAAACAAAAGACCTTGTTTCCTTTTTGGAAACAAATCACTCTAAATTAAAAAAAAATTTAATGTGCCTAAAAGTGATTTTAAAGGGCACATACATAAATGTTAAATTGAATGGAGCCCATTGTGATGGCCCACACTTTTAATCTCAGCACTTGGGAGGCTAAGACAAGCAAATCTCTGTGAGTTTCAGACCATCCTGGTCTACATAATGAACTCTAAGCCAGTCAGAGCTACAGAGAGACAGAGACAGAAAGACAGAGGGAGACTGTCTCAAAAAACAGATATAGATACATGGATGGATGGATGGATGGATGGATGGATGGATGGATGGATGGACAAGCAGACAGACAACAGGTCTTTTCTTCCAGGGTGAGTCACAGAAGGAAAACATGGCCCTCTGATCTATGTTTTGGATCTGGAAGCTTTGGACAACCTAGAGACAAGCTGGATGTCCCAGCATGGCTCCCCAAGACATGGTTTACTGCTGCTTCTCTCTAAAGCATCCACCCTGTGACCTGCAGAGCTGGGGTGGAATAGTCCAATAATCTGATCCACGCTGCCTCCAACCCAAAGTAGTTGCTCTCTGGCTAGTGGTCAGAGCCCATTGGTTATCTCCAGAGAGAAGTCAGCTGTTTCTGGAAAGCCTGTCTGCTGGAAAGTTGCCTCTAGCTTTGATGAATGCAGCTGAATAGCTCGAGTCAAATAGTTTCTGTTCCCTAGCACTGCACCTGGCTGATTGTTCAAACTGTGGGTTCAGGGTGATTTCCTAGCAGGTGAGACTAACCTTCAAGTTACAGTTGGATACACATGTTTGTGCTACAGTATTAGAATCTTTTGAAGTGTTGTGCCAAGCAGCTAGAAGGAAGGGGCAGCATGTTCTCTTCTAAGCTGTGAAGCAGGACTAGCTTTGCAGGAAGGCTTCCCTGCAGGCTCTGTTTACAGTGCTCTGGGGCTCTGGATGGCTCCAGAGGGCTTTTCAGAGTCAGCCAGACACCACACAAACCTCTGCTGCATAGGCTCAGGGGTTCCTCAATTCATCACTTGCCAACCAGCTCCAAGTGGAGATGTAGCAAGAGCTGCCCACAGTGTAGAGAAGTGAGGCCTCGTGTGTGGTGCTGAAGGAAGCTGTAGGCTTGGAGCAAGTGTAGGCTAGAGAGGATTGGAAATGGATAGAAGACACCCCTTCCATATCGTTTTGACAGTGCTGTCAGGATTAACCAAGACAGAATGTCTAAATTACTTACAGAGCCTGCCAGAGAGTGAGGGTAACAGAAGAAGAGGTATTTTCTTCTCTCTGTGGGAGTTGCTGAGCAGCATCTGAGTAGAGTCTTTGCTTCCTCTCCACCCTGCCCTCCCTCATCCTTGCCTTTCCTCCATCTCAAGAAAGTAAAAAATATCTGCCCTTTGGGGAAAAAAATCCAGTAAAACTTTCTTTATCTCTCTGATGGCCCCAGTATCCCATGTGCGGCCAGGAGCAGTGGCTTCATCAGCTCCCTGACGTTGTGCATACCCAGACACTGCATGGAAACCCTAGGGCTGGTGTCCTGCTTCCCATGTCACTGAGGCCTACTCCGGACTCCTGCTGCTCTGCGTCTAACCTTGCCTCCTCTCAGAGACTCTGGCTGGGGATCTGTCTTGAGGTCAGGTAGTGTACCTGACAGCTTTCATTCTTCCCGCAGATCATCGAGAAGCAAGCAGGGCACAGTCGAAGTCGAGTGTTCCGTGAGGTGGAGACGCTGTATCAGTGTCAGGGGAACAGGTGAGCGTTATGTAGGAGGAGCACTTCGCCGCCACCGAAGGGGTTCCTTCCTACCAACCCCAACCCAAACATGTCACTGCTTCTCCACAATTGCATGTAGCTCCTTCCAGCTTTCAAGGGGAGGAGGGATAATAGTAGACCCAAAATATTGTCTTCTCTTGGCTAAAATACTATAAATGGCAGTTTTCCGTAAGGTAGAAGAATGAACACTCCTAATCAGTGTCTATTTGAGGAAGAAATGGGGTTTCATTTCTTCCCGTGCCTGTGGAAGATGGGCCAGCAGTGTTGCCTGGGAGCAGTCTTTAGGGCTGCTTTGATGCAGACACAAGGTTGAGGACTGCCGGACTGCTCACTGCTGTTTCCTGTTCCCAGCATAAGATGCCATTACAGTGCTGAAGGTGGGACCAGCACTCTTTGCTTGATAACTGGGCCACAGTAACCTTTAGCCCTGTGTTACACAGCTCCAAATGAGTGGTCCTCCCACAGTGGCTTTAAATCAGGGTCACCTCCAAGATTTGTCCGCCCCTCACTTCCTCGGCAGGGTCAGCAGGGAGCCAGTGGCCTGGTATTGATGGCTTTGTCATTAAGCTTGGAGGAAGGGGGCTGCTGTTGATTTAACTCCAGGCACTGCCTCTACAATCTTCTTTCAAATTAGGCCATTTTGGCCATCTTATTTGGACGCCTTCACACTAGTAAAAGCCTGCTATCTCCCCAAGTGGTCAGCATTTTTTTATGAGGGACAGATTTTTATTTTCAGCCCTGCAGCTTCTTAGTTCAGCATTAGAGACTCTACCAGGTTTATTTCGTTCTTCCAAAGAAAAAAGCTCCCAACACCTCCAATATCCAAGCTGGTGGCTTCCCCACTGAGCTACAAGACGACCTTGTTGGCAGAGCACTGCAGTACTCCGGCAGACAGAGAGTGCTCACCGGGGAAGGCCACAAGTGCTACAGTGGCCAGGAACGCTGCGGTTTCATTAAGCAGCGCTTAGCAGTTAGGGTCTAGCGGTGCCCACGTTAGGCCCCAAGTCTATTTGACAGATGTTTCCATTTTCTCCAGGCAATGTAAATACTGCCCTGTGATTTATGGGCAAGAGGGAGGGCAAGTAATTATTTGCTGCTTGCCTCCAGGACACACACCTACTATTCAGTGTTATTAGCCGCAATTGCTTCCAGTCGGCTGCAGATTTTATTCAGTTTAATGTGACCAGGACTTTTTATAACTCTACCTAGTGGGTTTTAGGGTTGGGGTTTGACAGCCCAGACTTGGTGAAAACACCAGAGACTAAACATTATGGAAAGATAAGGTGACCTGAATCTTGCTAACACCGTTGGCTGCTTCTCAAACATGAGTCTTTAATAAGCATTCTGATTTCAGGTTGCTTTCTGCCCACTACAGCCACTGTGTATTTGTCCGTTGGATATTTATGAGTGGACTTTAGCATATAATGCTCCCCCCTTTTCTCTATTTAAGGAACATTTTGGAGCTGATTGAATTCTTTGAAGATGACACACGGTTTTACTTGGTCTTTGAGAAATTGCAAGGAGGTATATCTTGTTGAGTATGTGTTTGGACTTTGGATTAAGACCCAGGGTGGTAATCATCCATCATGAATCCCAGAGACTTCTAAAACGAGTCAAGCTAATAAAAAGGATGAAGGACTTAAAAACTGCCCTTGGTTTGGGAGAAGGGAGGCCGGAGGGAAGAATGATAATTAGCATTTTGCATCGCTTAGAATGTCACCTGTGTGGATAGTCTATAAATGCCTTTTCATTATAATAGGAGTCCTATATAGATACTGTTAGTGATCAATTTATCAATCCCCTGTTTTGACACATTCACTATTTAACTAAATTAATTATGAAGTAGAAGCTTTGGCTTACACTATGAAGTCTAGAAAGGCTAAACAGAGCAGAGGAGGGCCCCATTGTTTAGAACACAGACTCAGGATCCAGGGGAGAGCAAGAACATGCCACCCTTCAAGTGGAAGGAAGATACCTCTCCTGCCACCACACTGCTGTCACTGAAATGATACATTCCCTCCCATCTGTGCACCCAGGTGAAGGGCACATTTGCAAGATGAAGGCTACAAGAATGTGTGGGGCTGAGGAAGGCTACATAGGAACTAACAAAGCTAAGCTGAAGTCACACTCGGCAGCCTCCATGACCTTGGAAACATCCATTAGCCTTTTGCAAACAGTACTCTCATCTGTAAAATAGAGCTGTAGTAGCATCTGCCTCAGAGGGCTGCTGTGGAGGCTGAATGAGAGAGTATTGAGAAGAAGTACTTAGCACCAGGGTGCTAGGCACAAAGGGTTCATTGGTACTATCAAAACAACTGACTGCCTAGGGACACCTGAGAAGTGAGTGAAATAGTTTTTCCTGCCTTGCTTTTTAAATAAATTTATAAATAACAGACAAACAGCAGGGCAAAATCCATAATAAGCATGGGCCATTTTTAGGACCCAGGAATGACACCTTCAGCCCAGTGGAGGAAGCCCAGTACTGGCTTCCAGTAGTGAGTATAGGCTGTGAATTACATGTTAAGAAAACCAGATGCAATAAGATCTTCTGAAGCCATATTGATTAAGTTGTAGCTCTAGTGAGGCCAGACTATGGGATGAAGAAGACATGGGTGGGCTCAAGATGCTCCACCCCTCAGCAGTTGGACCACAGTCCTGCGTGTGGAAAGGAGGTGTGCAGAAGCTCCACGGCTGCATTTACTGGGCAAAAGTCATGACTCCACCACTTGCTGTGTGTAAGTTTAGGCAAGTTGCTTAACCATTTTTTGACATGAAGTTGCCCATTTGTAAAAGGGGGATAGCTCTTCTGCTCATTTTGTGCATTTGAGTTGAGATAATGTATTCGAAGAGGATTGAACGGTTTTGGACACATAGTAGACACTCAATAAATGGTAATCATTGCCAACAAAATTAATAACAGCATGTGAAGGAGAAGGCTTAGGAGGAAAAGCAATCCTTTTTCGTTTCCCCGACCCCCAAGGGTCTTTGCTTACACAAGACATATGGGGATTTCCACTGGAAGGCCTGTCTGTGTTCTCTGTATCGGAGTTCAGAAGAAGAGGGGGAAATGTCTGTAAGCCCCACAGCCCTGTGTGTTTTCATTTTTAGTTCTTTTTTTATTTCAGAAGCCAGATCAGTCCCAGTGGCGTTAGTATCTTTTTGCCTTGTATGTAATTCTTCTGCATCTGAACTCCTCATAGACAGGCATAGAAGGTAGCAATCTGGTTCAGCAGAGACACACTGGACCCACTGTACCAAGCACCACAGTTGGTGCTTGACATTAATCAATAAGTAAGTCTGTCTCTACTGCAAACTTGTCCTTACAGAAGTTATGCTTACCAGAGCCTACAGAGCCGTCCCTTCTTGTCCCTCTGCCCCAGGTTCCATCCTAGCACACATCCAGAAGCGGAAGCACTTCAATGAGCTAGAAGCCAGCAGAGTGGTGCGAGACGTTGCCACTGCCCTTGACTTCCTGCATACTAAAGGTGATCCAAGCCTTCGATTTGGGTGGGCAAGTTGGGCAGGTTGGGCCAACCAGCCTCTGGGTACCAAGGTAGAGGACACAGTCCTGGCAGAAAACCTATCCAGGAGGTGGCACATCTGGCACCTCACAATTCAAAACTTGTCCACCTAGGAAGGGAGAGGAGGTGTGTGACTCCAAGGCTTCACTGTGGAATGAAGGGGTGGTAGAGTTACAAAATAGAGGTACAGTCAAAAGAAGGACAAAAGCCTGGATTCACAGTGCCCAAAGCATGTGTGGTCTGTGCACTGTGGTTCTATGTAGGTGATGTTTCTCTTTTTTAGAATTCATTTGATTTTTTAATTGTGCATGTGTGAGTCTTTGTGGTGGTGTGTGGTGATATTTTTGAGAATTCTGGAATTTTGGGTTCCTTTGAAAAAACACAGAAATATTATAAGAATATGCTTTTGTGTTAATCCCAGGTGTGGGGATGTGGAATGGCTTCAGATTGTTTGCAGCAGCTGACTATGATTTGCCTTGTGCTGTAGCTGAGGCGTGATTTTGCCAGCTGCAGATAGTTTCTGTGATTGTGTGAAATTTGGTATTTTGCGAACTTTTCAGAGGATGTATAAATGAACCCCAACACACTGTTAGTCATTCAGGGTGGTTGGTTGCACTTTGTTACTAGCTGTGCTCAAAGAAGAAAGAAATCAAATTCAAAGCTCTCCCCCTCATCCCTCTTTCTCTCCTTTCTAGTGATAGGGTGAAGGGGGAATAAAAGGTACAAAGAAGAAGAACCCACAAAGTAGCAAAGACGTGTGTAAGGGGTGTACCCAAGGGGCCAGAGACATTGGATCCCCTCGAGCTCGGCTTTCAGCCAGTCATGAGCTGGCGGCCATGAGCTGCCTGGTGTGGGTGCTGGAATCTAAACTGTGTCCTCTGGAAGAATGAGTAACAGTCTTAACCATCAAGCCATCTCCCCAGCCCCTCCTTTTCCTTACAAATCATGTAAAACTCATAAATGAATGGCCCATTCCCACGTGAGCATTTTAGCATCATTCCATTTCATCTTTTAAAGCATATCGCCTGTATCTCTTTCACATTGGCCTGGTAGGATTAGGTAGTCTTCTGTATCAGATAATTTAAGAACTTCTGTAGTTCTTAAATCTGTAGTGAATTAAATCATTTTGCACGTCTATAAGTCTGTTGAACTATTACATACATGTTTTAATGCCACAGAAAACTGAGTTACCCTCTGTGTTCCTTCAATGGTAACACGTATCCTGTAGCATTATGGTAAGGATTATGGAGATGACAGTGTCCTCCATGGTAGTTAACACATTATGTATTAGGTGAATTCATTTATATAGTTGACTGTATCTTCTTTATGTCTTATGGGCATATATGTGCACACATTTCAGGAACTGTACTCATATATAGTGATAGGGTAATTGTGCATAGTACTTGTCATGTATCTGCATATATACACAGTATATACAGAAAAGATTCACACAGCTGCATACACAAATTCATGTATAATAAGGGCTTAGAGCAGTGTCATAAAAATGTATACACACACACTCTATATATGATATATATATATATATCATATATAGAGTGTGTGTGTGTGTGTGTATGTGTGTGTCTTTTGTTAAATTTGTTCCTCTTCACATAAAGAGTTTTTACTTCTAAATTACCTTCCTTGAAGTAAAGCATTCTTCTTGGTTTGGGTGGGGAAATGGAGGTGAAGCAAATAATTTGTTAGCTTTACTTCCTGTACAGCTGTGGCTATGAGTGCTCAGACCCAGCTGCAGGCATGCCATTCATGGATCCCACTCTGTCCGGCGTCTAGCATAGCCAGGTGTGGCGGGTGTGGCATGTGTGGCAGGTGTGGCAGGTGGACAGCAGGTCAGGTTCCTCGGTGGCTGGAAGTGATCTGAAAACTGCTAGTGTCCATGCTGAGGCCCTGACTTTGCACCTGAGCTGAAAATTCCTAGAAGGGGGCATCTGTGCTTCGCACAGCATGATGAATGGAAGCCGTTCTGTCTCTGAAAGCTGGGGTGCATGCAGGGAACACCTGCCTGACAAAGATTTACAACTGCTCCCCAAGCTGCCTCTGTAGATTGCAAAACTGGGTCACGCTTTTCACAGGAGCCATACCTTGGAGGAGGGGTAAAGGCAGTTTTATTTTTTATTTATTTATTTATTTATTTACAAAAATGCACTAAAGGGAACAGAGGCCAATGGTGTCTTAGAAGTCCTGAAGTGCTTGTTACCATCTAGCTGGCCCGCTGCCCATGTGACTAGAAGTTGGAGAGGATGAAAAACGATTTCCAGGTGAACTTGGCTGTTTTCTAAATAACTTCATGCCGGGAAGATGAATTGGGCAAGAATGGGTCAGCCTCAAAACAAGTTCCCTACTTTTAAATACTGGACACACTGCAGCTTAACCTCTGGGAAATGAACCCGAGCAGCTCAATGGCTGGAGCACTCACTCAGGCAGGCCCTTTATTACAGCCTGGCTCCCGGAGTGCTCGGGCTGAGGCACAGATGGGCCACGGGCACCTATTTGGAGAGTAAGGCTCTGTGTGCGGCTTGTGATCTTCTGTGGGAGCACTTGCCATAATGGAAAATATCCTTCACTTTTAGTGCGGTGAGCAGTAGCCTGACTCAATTTGTGCAGGCCGGGCTGAGTAGCTCTGGGTTCTCATTCAATTAGGTGACTGATGAAGTTACTTAGCTCGCTGGAGCTCAGCTCTTTCTTCTCTAGTGAAGTAACTTCAGAAGGCTCGGCTTTTTAACAGAGAACTGGAGGACTGCCTGATAAGTTGATCCAGGGAGTTTGAATGTGGCAAGTTCACTTTCCCCATCGCTCTGTATCTTCAGCTCTTCCCAGGCCTTTGAAGCAGTGTGTTCAGTCTTTTAGGCCTTGTGGCAGTGCTGTGTGTGCCGTGTGCTGTCGGGGGATGGAGGGTAGAGTTCTCTGTCAGAACACCATGGTCTCCTTTGTTTGCTCTATCCCTTCTATAGTTAGACGGTGGTTCCCCCGGGTGACTTCTTGGCCATTTCAGCAAGATTTAACACCCTCATGGGTCAGCTGCTGTCTGCAGGCCTCTGTAGGAGGTCTGGCCCAAAAGCTGGTGTGTCTCCTCTGAAGAGCTGTGTGCTCGACCAAAGCTTTGCTGCAGGCAGGTTGGCCAAGCACGCACATGTGGTGCGGAGCAGGTGAGAAGGAGAACGAGAAGCCTTGGGAGAATTGCAGAGTAACATTCCAGGAGCCGCACTGGAGGACTCTTTTTCTAAAATTAGTTACACAAGATAAAATGAGGGAAAGCCATCCCGGTCCCCCAAGATGTTCTCAAACAAGGCACTGATTATTTCTGCATCGCTGTCCCAAGCCTTGCCATTTGCAGGGCTGTCTGCCTTGCTTTATGTCGGGTGGCACAGTAAGAATTCTCAGTTGTCTCTGCGGTGCTGAAAGTAGGCTGCCTGGGATTCATTTAGTGCTTCTTATCCCTGCCAGACTTCTAAAGCCTCTACTTCAAAAGAACTTGGCAGAATCAACTGTGCTTTGGGTTTGTGTCTCTGGTTACTGCTGCCTCCTGCAGCTCGTTGATTTTTTAATGTACCATAATTGGGAATTAATCTGCGAACAGCAGCATTTGGAAAAAATTAATTGTGTGTGGAATGTTTGATAATTATGTGCATATGTTAACCCTTTCTTTGCTGTTTGTCACTCCAGGCATTGCTCACCGTGATCTGAAGCCAGAAAACATACTGTGTGAGTCTCCAGAAAAGGTACTTAGGGCTTGGTTTGGGATGTTACAGTTCATGTTGATCAGGAATACCTCCCTGCCTCAATGCAGGGAGTCAGAAGTTCCCCTGGCCAAGTACCAAGTGCAGCTTAGTATGAACACATGAGAATGTTGTACCTAATGTGTAATGTCCCTACATTCCAGCCAGATGTGGCATCTTACACCTGTAGTCTGAACCCTCACGAGGCTGAAACAGGTGAGTCACCAGGAGTTCAAAGCCAACCTCGGCTACAGAGAGAGACCCTGTCTGAAATAATCCCTACCCCCCAAAAAATTCCAGGTAGTTAGTCCTTGTGCCTTTTTGATCTTATCATCTGTTTGATTGGCTTCAGCCTGCAAGCTTGTAAAATATGTGAGCCTTGAACAGCATTCATATTTTCTCACAGCGCTTCAGAGTAGTTGGTGTGAGTCAGAGACAACTGAAATCTATGTCTCTGCCCATAAATGCTAACTGTGGTATAGTACTATGCAAGATGGTGTCCACTATTAGAAGTAATAATTACGCCGGGCGGTGGTGACGCACGCACGCCTTTAATCCCAGCACTTGGGAGGCAGAGGCAGGCGGATTTTTTAGCTCAAGGCCAGCCTGGTCTACAGAGTGAGTTCCAGGATAGCCAGGGCTGTATAGAGAAGCCCTATCTCGAAAAACCAAAAAAAAAAAAAAAAAAAAAGTAATAATTAGGAAGCAAGTTCTTGATAAGAGTTTGTCTCTGTTTCTATGTACAAAGGTGCTCATTAATAATAAAACACGAGTGCTTCTGTTGAACAATGCGCCCTGTGTAAACATTACCTTAGCATGTATAATGGAAGGAAAAGTAAATGGAAGTGTCTGCACTTCACATAGTGTATGAATTTAACAAATTCTGTGTTAGACGGGGTTGATAGCACCAGTAGCCCACATTCACAGTTCCATGTGTGACATGCATGTACTCATGCGAGAACACTGTGCCTCGGTGCAGACGCTTTAGCTCATAGCTGAGGAACAGCACAAGTGAACGTGTGAACCAGTTCACTACACACGGTTCTTTGTGGGATGCTAACGTATTAACTCAAGTAAAACTTGTGACTTCTGCTGATTGAAGTAATACACATCTTTAATCCCAGCATTGGGGAAGCAGAGGCAGGCAGATCTCTGAGTTCAAGGCCAGCCTGGCTACAGAGTGAGTTCCAGGATAGTCAAGGATACATAGAACCTGTCTCAAAAATCAAAAACAAGATTTTGTGATTGTGACATCCTAAAATACTTCTGCATACACCTTCATAATGTATCATTATTATGATCATTAATAATAATTATAGTTATAAAAGCCTGGATGGACACTGTGGTACTAGAGCAGGCCTAAGAGCCCTGTGGGTGCTCAGAGCTTCTGTTGCTGCCTCTGACTTACATGGCATTTCAGGTCCTCTCTTTGGTTTGATCTCCATGGTTCTTGTTTATTGCCCCTTTTTTATGGTTGAAAAAACTAAATTTTAAGAGAAGCTAAATGTCAAAAGGCATTATCAAGAAACTGAAAAGCCAACTTAAATAATGGGAAAATCATTTGAAAGTCCTATATTTGATCAGGGTTTAACGTTTAAAACATATCAAGACCTCTTAAGACTCAGCCACAGAACAGCAACTCAATTCTGAAAAGGTCAAAGGCTTTCCTCAAAGACTTGCTGATAGCTAGCAAGCACATGAAAAGGTGTTCTGCACCATAAGTTATTAACAAACTACAAATCTACCACTGCAGGCTACTACACACCTACCAGGCTGGCTCTATATGTTTTAGTAGAAAACGATCCATGACAGGGAAGATGTGGGTAAGCCGGCCTCCTCATACATTGCTGGTGCTGTGAAATACAGGAAGTGGTTTGGCAGGTCCTCCAAAGGCTAAGTGTAGAAACAGCAGTTCTCCTACAAATGTGCCCAAAACTGAAGAGAGAAACCGGAACAGGTATTTGTGTGCTAATTTTTATAACAACATCATTCTTAGTAGCCACTGTGTCCACAACAAAATGGATAAACAAAATGTGATCTCTAATATGATGGACTATTACTCAACCCTAAACAGAATGCAGTTCTGATACCTGCTATAACATACATGAACATTTATGCCAGGACTGGAGACACGGCTAGAGTACTAGACTAGCATGCAAGGCCTGGGGTTCCATTCCCGGCACTGCCCAAAACAGCAGCAGTGAAAACACTTAAGCTAAGTGAAAGGAGCTACACGTACAAGTATGTACGTTCCACTTAGATGAAATATCTAAACCAGGCCAGTCAGTCAAGGCAGGAGTAGGTTAGCGCTGCCTGAGAGGAGGGTCAAAACTGGGCAGTACTTGCAAGAGTTCAATCTCCATTTGGAGGGGTGGAAGAATTTTCAAAACTGGTGGTGGTAATGGGGTATATTATTAGGTTGTACAACATTAGATTGTACATTTAAGAATTGCTAAAACAGAAGGTGTGGTGACATGCCTTTAATTTCAGCACTCAGGAAACTAACAGGTGGATCTCTGTGAGTTTGAGGTCAGCCTTCCTGGCTGTCCTGAAACTCACTCTGTAGATCAGGCTGGCCTCAAACTCAAAGATCCACCTGCCTCTGCCTCCTGAGTGCTGAGATTAAAGGTGTGTGCCACCACCACCCAGCTAGGTCACAGCAGTCTTAACACCATCTAGTGCAGCCCCTTCTCCCTTAGGATATAAAAGAGTGTGGGGGAGAGGAGAGCTTGGAGTCAGTCCTCAGTGCCTTGCTAACCCAAGAACAGGAAATATGGCCTGGTAGGAAGAGCGGCTACCATTAACAGCCAAGCCTCTGTTGGTCACACTACTGTCCTTGTGACCTCTGGTTTCTTATGACCAATCCTGTCTTCTTTTGCAGGTGTCTCCGGTGAAAATTTGTGACTTTGACTTGGGCAGTGGGGTAAAACTGAACAACTCCTGCACTCCCATAACTACACCAGAGCTGACCACTCCAGTACGTATGGCCTCGTAGCCTGTGCCCCTGCTGCTGTCTATGTGGGGCATTTGAATCTGTGACAGAACAGAGGGATAGGAAAGGAGGCCCCGTGTTGCACTTCTCTGGCCTGAGTGGTCCTTTAGCTCTCAAACCGACCCTACCCAGTTGCTAATGAAACTGCCATTGTAGCTTTCATGGGCCAAAGAGGAGCCCGTCGTCTCCACAAGCACAGGCTGCATCCTGACTCCTGTCCGAGATGAAAACAGACACTGCCCTATTATGCATAAGCTCCGGAGAGCCCCATAAGTCCCTCATCCCCTGTGTAGAGGATAGGAGTGATCATCCCACCCAGGAAAGTCATGCTGTGGGAAGCCAGTGAGGTCCCAGACATCTTGCACAGAGGATTGTTTTTCCTTCACATTTCACATTTCAGATGGTGATGCTGGGCGCTCCCCAGAGGACATTTCTCACACATGCTTAATACGCTGTAATCACGATGACTCTTTTGAGATTTGCATGCTTCATCAGTGAATTTTGCTAATAGCCTTTTTTTTAAGACTTGCCTTTAAATATGCTTATATCGTGTCTTATTCTAAGCAACAGGATTAGGAATGTTTACATATCGCCAGCCAACATACAATGTTCCCTCGTTCTCAAATTCATTAACTCTAATTGCCAGTAGCAAACAAAATATCTGTTCTTGAGAGCACTCAGCATCCATAATCAAATTAGTTAGGAGTGGTGGAGTAGAGGGCTGGGTAGGCGTAGGTGAGCCTGAAATAATAAGGGGGAAGCAAAACACGTGTCCTTTATTCCTCTCAGCAGTCTCCGGAGACTGCCTGGCTATGCCGCTGTCCATCTTGAACCTTCTCTCTCTAAAGGGCACGGAGACTGGGCATGTCATCAGAGCTCTTCAAGACTTGATAGCCTCTGAAGTTTAAACCATTAGGTTTCCTTCCTCTAAGCTAGGGGAGAGCTGGGCAAAAGTCACTTAAAAAAAAAAAAACCCTACAGGCAGGGCGGTGGTGGTGCACTCCTTTAATCCCAGCACTTGGGAGGCAGAGGCAGGCGGATTTCTGAGTTCGAGGCCAAACTGGTCTACAGAGGTAGTTCCAGGAAAGCAAGGGCTACACAGAGAAACCCTGTCTGGAGAGAAAAAAAAAAAAAAAAAACCTACAGGATGGAGGCAAATCTCCACAGATCTCTCTCCCATGCCATTCTTGGCATGTATACATACAAAGTCTGCTTAGAGAGAGATGAGGTAGGGAAGCGCTCCTGGGCTCCTTTCCTGGGACCACTGGAGAAGGACCCAAAAGGCAGGAAAGTAACTTGGAGTTGGCCATGTGAGCCATAGGGGATGATGCCGCAGCTGACGCTTCCCTTCGTGTCTCTGGGGTACTGGTGAGCCCTGCAGCTTTCCCGAGCACTTCTGTCTGTGACTTCGTCCTTCTTTCCTCTTGCTTGAAATACATTCTGCACTTTGCCATCTGCTCACTCACGAACTCACCCTCTCTCTTTGCCATCTCCCCTTCCCACGCCCTTATCCTACAGTGCGGCTCTGCAGAGTATATGGCACCTGAGGTGGTGGAGGTCTTTAGGGACGAGGCTACTTTCTATGACAAGCGCTGTGACCTGTGGAGCCTGGGTGTGGTCCTCTACATCATGCTGAGTGGCTACCCCCCCTTTGTAGGTCATTGTGGGGCTGACTGTGGCTGGGACCGGGGAGAGGTATGCAGGATGTGCCAGGTAAGTGCTACCTGGGCCTCAGTGGGCATAGGTGAGGTTGGCATGATTGTGGGATACCAAACAGGTTCAGGAGAGGAGACTGTCCCAAGCCTGAGGGGGAAACCAGAAGTAAAACAGAGACATTCAGCCAGCTATAATATTTTGGGGGAGGGTTGTTGAGACCAGCAGGCCTGAACACACTCAAGTATGCCTGGCCCAGGGAAAGAGACAAGACCTGTAGGAAGGATGAATACTGACCAGGAGATGGAGGCATGAAACACTTCGTGTGCACTGCAGTGGGAAAGACTTCAAGAAAGGAGCCAGGAACAGGCTTTATTGTATGGATGCTGTTTACACATCACCTCTCCTGTCCTGCAAGTAGCATAGCCATTTTTGCCTTCCATGGTCATTGAGTATTACTGAGGGACCTAGGGGAGATTTAGGAAGGAGGCTCTGTCCTTGGCATTCTCAAACCATGAGCAACACTTCTAGCAGAGTTGGAGTTGGGGTGACCAGGTCAGTAGCAGCGTATCCTGCCCATCCCTGGCCAGTGTGACTTCAGAAGGAACTTTTTTCGCCTAGAACAAGCTGTTTGAGAGCATCCAGGAAGGCAAATACGAGTTTCCCGACAAAGACTGGGCTCACATCTCCAGCGAGGCCAAAGACCTCATCTCTAAGCTCCTGGTTCGAGATGCAAAGCAGAGACTCAGCGCTGCCCAAGTTCTGCAGCATCCATGGGTACAAGGGGTGAGTGACCACAGGATGGGTGGCATGAAACCCCTACTGGCCTACAGGAGGTGTCACAAGGAAGCTCTCACCCCACAGTGCGGCTTCCTCAAGCTGGGGACAGGTGGGACATCAGCTCCAGTCATCCTGTAGTAGAAGGAGGGACTCTTGGCTCAGCCCCTTGATGTGCCATGGATTTGCATCTCACCCTGGCCACCCCCTCTCACCAAACTCCTAGTGCCCTTTGAGGATTTGACACATGGCTCCCTCTGTTAGCAGAGGCACCCATTCTAAGAAGCAGTCTGGAGTTGCCATTCAGGGTCTGTGGTACAAAACATTATTAGCTAAGAGTCCCCGGAGGCAAGCAAGGTCCTACAGCTTATGTGACTGCATTAGGACCATGTGATTCTCCTGGGAGCTGGGAGTCAGGGCCCTAAAAGGCAAGTGGTGGTGTTTTCCATGAGTTCAGAAACCAGGTCCTCACTATAAAACTAAATCCTCCATGGTCAGTCACAGAACTTGAGCTTTTCCCTCCAAGAAGTCTTTGTCCTTGGTCTGCCAGGCCCTCACCAGCCTCTGTCACCCTGCTACTGAAAGGAGGTAAGCATTGCCAGCCCAGAGAGATGTCAGGGTAGCTCAGTAGCTAATTCCCATTCACACCATGTCAGAGCCACGCAGCAGAGAGAGGAGTAAGCCCCAGGCCTGGAGAGAGAGAGACCTTGTAGAACAGTGTGATGGGCACTGGAGAAAGTATTAGAGGGGGCACAAAGGAGCAAGGCCATTGCTTGACATGGGGTAGGAGAGTGGCAGGGAAAGTGACCTTTGAACTGGGTCTTAGAAAGCGACTAAGACTTTTTAACAGGAAAGGGGAGAGAGGCAGCCATGACTTCAGAGAATTCTCTTACTCTGTCTTCAGAAGGTCTGGTCTGACCCTGCAGTAAGCATAACCAAGTCTCCATGCTGGGCCAAGCACCTGCAGTAACACAACCTCTCTGCTGGCCTGGGTGGGGGTAGCTCTTGGAAGGTGGGAGCAACATTACCCACAATCTGTCCTTCCCATTCTAGCAAGCTCCAGAAAGGGGACTCCCCACGCCGCAAGTCCTTCAGAGGTAAACACTTCCGTCCTACCCACTGCCTTCTTACCTTGGCCTCAACTTTCCCTCAGATCTCAGCCACATGTGGGGGATGGGCCCATCCTCAGGCTCTGAGGCCCTCTCTGGAAAGTTCTCTGGCCACTGTCCCTCAGTCCTCTCATTGATCTCCATAGATTCCTCTCTCTCAGCTTTATCTCAGCCTCTCTTTGCAGGAAAACCCCTGTTTTCTACTCACTTGAACGTGACTGTGAATCACCATTTACACCCCAAAGATGGTCCTTATCTCTGGACCATCTTCACAGGAGGGTTCTGCTCCTAGCAAAAGGAGAGGAGGGGTTCAGGGCCTCTTTAAGGCAGAGGGACAAGTTAACACATATACTGTTAGGCATACAAGAATGATAATGGCTTCTGTGTCTTAAGTAATTACCACATGTCCAATGTGGTACCAAAGGCATTTCACTCGCAGTCATGTGTTGCTCAAAGGCCAGGGTCCATCCTGAAAAATGCAGTGAGAGAAATGCCCAGACTTCAGACCCAGCACTAAAAATGGAAAAGAGAAAAGAAATACAATTTCATTATGCACAGTCATCAGAGATGACACTGGGTGATACAGTCACATGGTATATGTCAGCAACTGAAATTCCATGCAGCAAATAACTGTGCTGTTTCTTCACAACAAGCTTAAGTTTTCCAGAATCCGTTTTAGAAATGGAAAGGGTAAGAGTCAGGGGGCTCAAGTTAATTTGTGCTAGGACACAGAGTGGCTGTAGATAAATTCCCACCAAGCTCTGCCCATGGGGATGGAACTAGGCTGGGCAAGAACTCCCTTGGGAGCTCAGCCTCGTGCAAACCCCTCTTCAGCACCCATGGGGCTCTGAACCACTGCAGCTTTTAGGAGGAGCCAAAAGATCTCTGTTCACCCCAGGCTGCCTCCACCTGGCTGGCATTCCCACCGGGCTTAGCTTAGCTGTTGCAGATGCCTGCACGTGCCAAACCCCAGGTCCCTCTAAGACCCAGGGTGTCTGGCAGATGCCTGCTTGGGCTAGGCTCTAGGAGCACAGATAGACGTAGCACAGGCCCGTCCCAGAGCTTCTGCTCGTGGGGAAAAGGAGACAACTGCAGCGCCTGGCTTGGGAAGAGCTGGGGCAACCGCAGAGTCTGGAGGGGGTGCTCTGAGAAGGGAACATTCGCCCTGACTGCCCTGCCCACGAGACTCAAAGCCCATTCTCATTTTAGTCAAGCAAGGTTCTAGACCAGGCAAAGCTGCTTTGGAGAGAGCAGCATGGACCAGGAAAGTCTGATGGATTGTAGAACCCAGCAGTGGGTAGGTACATCCGAGAGCCTGCCTGGCTGATCTCAATACCGCTGCCCTCTTCTCCGTGCCTTTCCTGGCCTCTACAGAAACAGCAGCACCATGGACTTGACACTCTTCGCAGCTGAGGCCATTGCGCTTAACCGCCAGCTGTCCCAGCATGAGGAGAATGAACTGGCAGAGGAACAGGAGGCCCTAACTGAGGGCCTCTGCTCCATGAAGCTGTCCCCTCCATCCAAGTCTCGCCTGGCACGAAGGCGAGCCCTGGCCCAGGCTGGCCGAAGCCAAGATGTAAACCCATGTTCGACACCCGCAGGGCTCTGAACCACTGCAGGCACACCTTGTAGGCCTGTCCAAGCGGTGCGCCCTGAAAACCTTTGAGGTCAAAGTGTGAGGCAGGCAGAGGGACCTGCCCTGCAGCCCCAGCAAACCTTTACCATCCACAAAGACTCCCAGGTTCCCACCCATCCCCCATTTCCCTTGGGTCCTCAAAGGAGAAAGCTTTTTCCGGAGGGGTTGTCTTTGAAACGGGAAGCAATCACTTGTCACTTAGCATAATCGCCTGCAGCAGGAACATCTCTTTGCCGGGCTCCAAATGCTCCCAGTGTACAGATCCAGCTTGCGGTGGGGGCTGCTGGAGCTGCAGCCTTCAGGGAGCCAGCTTCCAGGAGCTGACAGAAGCTGCCGACACATATGCCTCTTCTCCCCTGCACTGTCACCTTCTTCTGGCGATCCTCCCACCTTCCTCTGTCCTACAGACGTCCTCTCTGCCTGTCCTTTCTCATGGCTGAGCAAAGCCATCCCCTCAATTCTGGAAGGGCAGGGAACCAGATCAGTCTTCCAGTCTGTAGCACAGAGAAGCACATAATCTTTCTTTGCCGTGACCAGAATGTGTTCCTCATTTATCATCCTCTTCCATGTTTGGGATTGCTGCTAAAGTCAGTATTATTTCTTTTTAAAAATATGTTTGCTTTTTTTTTTTAAACCATGTTCTTCCAGCAATCATAGAACTTCAAACTCGCACTGCAAGCCCATGGATTTCCCCAAGCGGCTATCCATGCACTTGGGTTTTAATCCTCTGCCTCACAGTCTCCACCGATTTTAAGCTGTTACTATGATGAAAACATAGTGACTGCTGTCTTCGCATCTTTGTCTGCCACTGCTGCTTTCTCCCAGGTCATTTGTGGAGAGAGGCACAAACCCAGGGCAGACTGCTGTCTGAGAGGAAGCCCTGCACCCTGCTCTGAGGAACACTGTGCCCACTGCCGCAGACGTGAAGGCACAGGCACTGGCAGATAGCTGTGGAGTCACATAAAACAGATTTGCATATGTGATGTACAACATTAGTCAACCACAATTACCAAAATTCTCTCGTAACTTGTGCTTGTTTTAATAAATAATGTAAAATTCTGGCTGTGGCAGCCTTGATGGTCCTTCCTTCAACTGCAGGCTTGAAGAAGAGGCATATCTCCAAGATGGGGGCTGAGCCTGGTGAGGTTGAAGGAGGGGTTCCCAAATAGAATACCACATTGATCCACAAGGTGAGATTTGCTTTTCTGTTTGTAGTTGAGGAAATGAAATTCATCAAACACCGTGTTTATAATAAACAACTCTGCTTTTGAGAGGCTGTTTACCAAGAAGAGGTTAAGGTTGGGTCGGTAGCCATCACACAGCAGGTTTTAAAAGGAGCTCTAATAGAAAAGTCTGTGCCCACCCCCACAGAAGACCGTATTTCCCCATCTAAAGAATTACTATGCCTTTATCGCAGAGCTGAGATATGCCCTGGATTGTACTTGTCCTACCAGAGTTAATGACAAAGAGAAATGGTGCCTCCTACCCATACCCAGACTACAGGGAACTGGGTAGAAAGGCCTTTATAACTTCCCAAGATATCAAGAGGGAATCTAGTATCAGGGCTTAGGTCATGGGCTACCAGCTATCCTGTAGTATGAATGTCTGCATATTGTAGTGGCATGGTTGATGGTCTTCTCTTTGCATCTCTTCATCCACCTGAGGTGAGACCAATAGATTTGCAGAATGGCCCAAAGGCTCCCAGCCCCTGGACATCCAAAACTAGGAAATGAATTCTGTCTGTGGACTTGATCACTGGCCTAGTCCGTCCTCCAACAAGTCCCCAATCTTGCTACAGACCAAGAACCCAGGCCCTCATCCTTCTGGCCTTTGCTCAAGCTGTGCCCTCCCACCAGCTTCCTCCCACTGGTCCCCTCCCTTGGAAAGCTGTTTAAATGATGCAATGCAGCTTTGGTTTTGCTAACAGTTGTACATTTATAAAGTAGCGGGGCCATTCTTAGTAGTTTACAGGCATTTCATTTGCACAGCTGTTCTGTAGGTACATGCTATTATTTTATCCACTGGACATAAAAAACAGGCAAAGTTAAGGAACGTGGCCCAGAGCTGGATAGCTAGAAATGAATGGTGGGACTTGAGTTCTTTCCAGTGAGGCTTGGAACCCAGAGCCTTGCTTATCTGGTTCAAATCCCAACTCAACCACTCGAGGGCTTTGTTTCCCAGACGAGTTACTTACGAGTCTATTTCTTCGCAGCTCTCAGGATAGCGGTGCTTATCGTACCAAGCTGTAAAAAGTGTCAGGTAATGATGGTGCTGGGTCATGTAGGAACATCCAACAGGTAGTCTGTTATCGTTGGTTATCTTGCTGGAATCAATAAAACTATAACACCAAGATTGGAAATAAGTTGCCCCTTTCCTTCCCCTGGGAATCCTCTGAAAGCCCCTGTGTGGTATGTAGATTGATCTGACTTTGTGATGTCAGGTCTCTGGCCCCAGGGACCCTTATTTTGATTGGCTGCTCTGCCCACCACTGTGTCCTGGGGTCCCTATCAGAGAGGCAGCTGTGGTATCAGGGAACAGTCTGCTATTGGAAGCTGGAGGTTCTGGGTTCTAGTCCTGCCTGTACCACCATTCATTGGGGTACCTCAGTGTCCTAGCTCTGCTGGACAGAGACAGGTGCAGAGGATGCTCGGAGGGAACTCTGTGATGTGGTGCTTTGTCCAAGCATTGACACTTGGGATGGATGGTAAAAGCTAGTTTTCTAGCCCTCAGGGATCACACTGGGCTGGAGTCTTCAGGGAGCCAGCTTCAAGGAGCTGACAGAGGCTAATACCATTCATGTCTCTGCTATCAACTTCCTCTGGCAGTCCTTCTGTCTTGGAAGGAGAACTTGTTACAGCCACCTAGAACATCTCAGACCTCAGGCCTCATTTCTCAAATCCAGCTAAAGAACATTGATCTAGCTCCAGTACTAGTTTCAACTGGACCCAGGAGCTTTGGCCATGGATGGCCAAGTCCTTGGGCTTCCACATGTCCATCCACCTTGAACTTCGGGGCCTCTTCTCCCTCCTGGTCCACTGCTCCTTGCCAGACCTATTTCCACAGCCAGCTTACATTGGTCTCATGCCAACTACTCCAGCAGCTTCAGGTCTGGAGAGACCCTAGGAGCAAGGTCCCCAGAAGGCTGACATTCTTGTTTCCATGGTAGCAGTTGCCTTGGAAGCTGCTTCCCTGACTTCAGCTTCTGAACCATCCAAGAAAGCTGCCCGTCCCCCAGGGGACCAGTGAATTAATCACACTCTGTTCCAGGGTTCTCACCCATCATGGAAAATAAATAGAACCAAACTGGGGCTCATTCAACCATTCTCCCTCTACACACTCAACCCACACTTGGACTTGGCATTTCTGAGAAAGAAAGGGCATACACAAGCACCTCCCATAACTGCTAGTCGGGTACCTCCATAGCAGACACTCACCATAGGCAGACATCCCTGTAGGCAGACACCCTCTCAGCCTTTGCCTCACTGGGAGACAAGAGCGATTCTATGGTGGGGCTGAGTATGTGCCATGGCTCAGTGGTGCTCTGAGTCCTGTGGCTCCAGGAGAACCCAGGCTCCCATGAGGAGGACTCTGGTACTTGAAAGGGCTAAGAACTCATGGAGCTTAAGCTGCTGCAACTCGATGTCTCCCACAGACAGCTTCCTTGAACTCATCTCTGACTTTGGCAAGCAGAGCACTCAGGGGTCAGCATGTGTTTCCTCGTGGGGTGGTCTAGCCTGCACTGAAGGAAGAATGGGAGAGCAAGCAGTTGGGTGTGTATGTGTGGGTACACATGCACATACGTATGTGTACATGTATGTACTTGCATGGAGAGCCCAGAGGTCAAGCTCAGGTGTTCAGGAGTCATCCATCCTGGGGTTTTGTTTTGTTTCTGAAAGAAAAGTTTCTCATGGGGACCTGAGGCTCACTGATTCCAATACACTGGCTGGCTAGTGACCCTCAGGGATCTGGCTGTGCCCTCCACAGCAATGGAGTTATTAGTGCCTGTCACCATGCCCAGCTTTTAGTGTTTGTTCTGGGAATCAAACTGAAGTCCCCATGCCTGTACAATGAGCACTTTACTGACTGAGCCATCTCCCCAGTGCTGCTACAGTGCCAAACAGAAGTCTAAATTTGAATTTAGACTCTGGGTTTTAGAGATCAGAATGTTCTTGAATCTGGCTTGAGCTACAGAACCTAGCACAGGTGCCTGATATGAGACAGAGCAAGTGGTGAAGGCCAGCTCAGCCCCAGGGCATCTGTCTTGATGACAGTGTGGGAGAACAACTCTCGGCCTTGGACCTTGAGGGGAGCTGGTACTGGCTCTACTAACCTCTAGCGATGCCAACACTTAAGAGTGAGTGGGAGGCAAGGCATTGTGAAAGGTGCTGAGGCTCCTGAGGGAATGCGTATTCATGGCCATTTATTTTGACAACTCCTTCTAAAGCTAGCCTCAGAGATGCTTTACAAAGGACAGAGACATGAGATATAAACTGGTGACAAATTAGAGGAAAACTCGCCTTATACCGGAAACATGAAGATGACGGTGGAATGCTTGGCTTGGCTTCAGAGGCTCCATCTTTATGGGACCTGAGAGGCCATCCAAGCTCTGTGGTCCTACAGCTGAGGCTCCCTTCAGGTACCCTTGGGACCTGTTTAGCCCCTCCCCCACAGTGTAAAGCAAGAGACTATTGGTAGAGATGGAGCTTACTTGATGCCCTCTTCCCTGATGACTCAAGGTGGAGATGTAGGGCCAAGTCCAGAGCTCCGTCCTATCCTTTATCCAGAAACTTCACCAGGTCTCTGTAGCATAGCATTCTGCAGAGTGTGAGGCTGGAAAGCCATGCAACCAGGAGGGGAGAAGCAGGGATCTGTAAGGTTAAGACTTGTCCAAACCCAGAAAATCTCACACTGAGACTGGCAGGTATAGAACTGTTTCCTCTCTGCTCTGCACCGGCATGACCTGCACGTACCCTTCCAACCCCCATCTCTTCCACCCTTGAGGTAGTCATGTAGCCTGGTGGCCAGGTTACAGGTTAAACTTCCTCTCACCTTTAGGGACATGTCTAGAAAGCACCTGGAATTCCTCTTCATGCAAATGAAGCATTCCCCAGCACCTCAGCCCCAGCCAATGATGTACATCCATCCCCAAACCCCCTACCCACTCCCCAAGGTTTATATAGCCTTCATCCTCCCCCAGTAAAGAGCTGTTTCACTGAAAATTGTCCCCAGAGAAGGCTGTTTCTCCTGCATTCACACCAACCAAGACCCTGCCTAAGCCACCAGCCCCAGTGCATGGATACCCAGAGAGGAGAAGCAGACCAGGACCAGCAGCCGAGTCACAGTCTCCAAAAGAAGCAGAACAAAGAAGAGGAGGGAGCCCTTCAGCTGGGGTGGTAGAGTAGCCCAGGCATGGTCAGGAAGGCTGCACAGGAGTGGCTGTCCATGTAGGTCTGAGGAACAAGGAGAGGTTTGCTAGACAGCAAGCACCAGGCAGATGCTCAGCAGGGAGAAGGGAAGAAAAGCATGAGGAGAAGAAACAGTGGAGGGAGGGGGTCATGAGGCTGGTAGAGACCCAAGACCTGATGGTAAGAAACGGTCAATGAAATGGAGGCCTGGGGAGTCAGTGAAGGGTGATGTGACCTTGAGACGTGCGTGCCCACAGGTTAGAGTAGGAACAGGCCTGTGCTGGAGGACTGGGAATACCCTGATCCATATAAGTCCAGGGAATGCAATTAGTAATCAGGGTTGGAGTTAGGCTCTAAAACAGAGCGACAGGAATCAGGACTAGACTTGATTGTGTTACCACTGCTCAGGCTCAGTTGGGTTGATTTGACCCAGTCAAACAGGGTGACTGGGTCAGCCAGGCTGGGTAGGGGTACTCAAGCTAAAAGATCCCTACCACGTGCCAACTTCATGACACTTCTTGCCCAGTCACTCTGTCCAACCCTACCCTACCCAAGTTCTTCCCAGCCAGAAATTGCCAGGGTTTAGCCTTTCCTCCTACTAGATGCTAAAATGGTGTGGCACCCATGCCTACCTGAGATAAACGGGGCTTCTTAAGATCCAGGCTTGGGCTAAGGCCTCTCAGCCCTACCTAGGATCAGCAGCTGACAAGATGCTAGGAGAAGCATGAGAGGCACAGGGAAGAGTAGACCTGGAGGACTACCCCTCCTTCCATGTTTCCAAGCAGGACTACAGGCCAAGGGGCAGAGGCCAGCAGTCAGCCTTGAGCATGTGACTGGGAGTGTCCTCACAGCCTTACCCCCTGAGCCCCATACAAAGCCATAAGCCCGGTTTTCCTGCCCAAGAACCAACAGTAGAACCTAGGCTGCCTGCCCACTGGACCCTGGGGATGCAAACGGACACTCATATTTCAGGCTCATGAATAACTTATCTTCTGCTTGCTGCCTGTACCTCTGAGAAACCTGTTTCCTAGGCCTGCCCCTGACCCCGCCTTGCATTTCTTTAAACTTTAATAGGCCCAGGCTCCAAGGCAACTGAGAAGGGTCCACAGAGCTGGGACAAAAGTTTAGCAACAGAACTTGGGCCAGTTCCCTCAGGTCCCAGGTGATAGCTGATAGAGGAGCACCCCATGGGGCAGACCCACCTGCAGAGAACCCTGGCCAAAGTGGAAATGTAGCCAAGCAGGAACCCCAGGAATGGCTTCTGGGTTCAGAGCCCCTTACAGGAGGAAGAGTAAACTGGGGTGTTGAGGTCAAGCTAGGCCTCAAGGCCCCTGGGAAACTGGGATAAGGTTGCAGATAAATCCCAGGCCCAGATCGGCTTAAAGACAGCCCAGAAATTTCCACCCTGGATGTGTCACCTCAACAAGGAAGCATCCATCCAAGAAGACCAACACTCCCAGGAGGCCTGGAAGCAGCACCCTGGGTAGACCTGCATGGACATCCCCATTAGCACCAGAGACTTCCACTGCCTGCAGCTGGCCTGTGTGGCCCTCGGCCTGGTGGCCGGCAGCATCATCATCGGTGTCTCCGTGTCCAAGGCTGCCGCTGCTGTGGGTGGTATCTTTCTTGGTGCTGCTGGGCTTGGTGAGCAGACACTGGGCTGAGGCAGAGAGAGGTTTTTCTGGGAAGTAAGGCTCTGGTGAGGTGAATAAGAGGGGAAGAGCTGGTCTGGTCAGTGGGGATTGGTTGGAGAGAGTGAAAACCTGTTATAAACAGTGTAGCCTCAGAGTGCAGGAAGGAAAGCTATCCTGGGGGTTGGTTCAGTGTGCTGGGATTACAAGGAAGGACAGACTGAGGTCCCACACCTTTCTGACTACCTGGTGGGATCTTGTGTTTGTGGCAGGATTCCTCAGCCTGGTTGGAATGGTGTGATAGAGGCCTGTAAAACAGGACAGCTCAGACAAAAGATTCTCCTCTCCTCTGTTGTGTCAGCAGCAGTTGTCTGTATGTCTGTCTGTCTATCTGTCTGTCTGTCCTGGTCAGGGCCATTGATGTAGAATGCCATCTCTCACCCCACTCCTGTCTCAGGAGAATCTGGAGCTCCATATCTTCAAACACTGAGAGCCAGGAACACTTGGTCTGGGAGGACAGCAGGGCAGATCCCCACCCTGTGGCTTCCTGGCCATCAGGCCTGAGTGGGGAGGAGCAGCAGTGGAGCCTAGAAGGCCACACTAGAGGTCTTGAGAGAGGAGAGATCTGGAGATGGAAGGGGAGGGGGCAGTGATATTGGTGTCATCTGGCCCAGTTCTAGCCAAAGAAGGAAAGTGACCGACCTGCTCTTCACCTGAGCAGAGTAGAGCCAAGAGCCTGCAAACCTGTGGCCTGCATAGTCTGTACCCCTTCCCAAGATAGGTACTGAATCCCTAGCCAGGGCTGAGTGCTGGGGAGACACACACACACACACACACACACCTCCCATTTACACCCCCACAGACCTGATCCTTTGTTCCTGTGCCCTCCTACATTACCTTCATAAACAAACCACCAACCCCCAGCCTCCTGCATCTCATACCAATCGGGCCCTCCCCCATCACAGCATCCTCTGTGTCCCTCCTCAGGGCTCCTCATCTTCACCTACCCCTTCCTGAAGGCTCGGTTCAACCTGGACCACATCCTACCTGCCATAGGTGAGCACTTCCTCCCCCACAAACCCTTTGACAAGGAGTGTGCAAGACCCTTTGTGTGCAAACCTGTGAGTGACTGTCAGTGAACAAGCCCACATGTGAGACTGCTCCTGGATGAGTGTGTGTGTGTGTGTGTGTGTGTGTGTGTGTGTTATGTGCCAGTGTCACCATGACTACAGAGTAGTAGAATCCAGCAGCTGCCTGAGCAAACATGGCTAAACCTCAGGAATCTGTCTCCCTTAAGAGTCATTTAGCTCCCCAAAATGTCCAGGCTCTTCAGATGACATTGTCAGCCCCAGCCCAGTAAAGACCCTCCACGGCCTTGTGTCCCACTTAATAGTCCCCACCTTACTTCCACAGCCTGCACCCAAACTCCCAACACTGTCAGTCCTGTGGAGCTTCACATATACCTACTTCCCTCCTTAGAAACCGACCCTTAGTGCCTTTGATCTCAGCACTAAGAAGGCAGAGACAAACAGATGCTGAGTTCAAGGCCAGCCTGGTCTACAGAGCAAGTTCCAAGCCAGCCTGGTCTACATAGTGAGTTCCAAGACAATCAGGGCTACACAGAGAAACCCTGTCTCAAAAAACAAAACAAAAACTACTACCACTTTTTCAAGGATTCGTTTCTTCTGCCCTTCCCCAAATCAGCCTAGATAATGTGCTCCTAGAGGAGCACAGGAGAGAAGAGACAGCCACACGGAGATTAGACAACACGAAGAACTTCTCAAACTGGGCTTAATTTGGGAATGACCCAGTAGATGGAACTTTGGGGTGCTCTCATCCTGCAGGAAACCTAAGAATCCATCCTAACTCAGGACCAGACCATGGAGAGGGAAGATCTAGCAACAACAGCAGTAAAGAAGGTAAGTGCCTGATGTTCTGGACTCCATCTTTTGTCTCTGCTATCTGACTGAGCAGCTCTGGAGGTCCTGGGAGGAGCCTTGAAGGTCATAGGCAGAGAAGGGTCCCCACCCCAGCGAAGCAGTGATGTCAGCTTCCATATGTGCAAGCCTTCCTCATTTGTCTTTAGGGTTTCCCTGTCTTGCCCAGCATGGACAGAGGATCTCCTACTTTCTCTTCCCCTACCCACTGGGCCTCCTGCCCTGGTTACTGTCCACTCTGCTCCCGGTGCTGAAATGTGGCTCTTGGCAATGATACCTAAAACTAGGCATCTTCTCCCTTACTGACCTTGTTCTCTACATTGGGAAACCCAGGCAGAAGTGTCTCCAAGGCAACCCAACCTCATGTGTTGATATGTCCTTGTCCTAGTGCTTACTCAGCAGAAGGGTCCATTCCAGATGCTGCCCCAACCACTTGACATTAACAGCTTGGTTCTCACAAACCACATGCTGGGAAGTACTACAATAAACTTGATTTTTTGTTTTGTTTTGTTTTCTTTGGTTTTTTAATATGGGGTAACTGAAGCACAGAAAGATTGCACAACACCTAGATCCAAGATCACATCTAGGAGGCATGGGACTAGGGCTGAAACAGCAGCTCCCAAGTCTGCTCCCTCACACTGTACTTGGTCCGAGGACCCCCACATCTCCCTGTCCATCCCAGCTCTGCCCTAGGGTCCTGGAGCATTTTGACCCCTGCTCTCTTTAGGTTTTCTGATCTGGCAACTCAATAGGATTCTGTATCCTGCTGTCTCCTCCAGGAGCCCGCAGCAGCCTGTCCACGGTGACCAGAACCCTGGAGAAGCTGAAGCCTGGAGGCCGAGGAACTGAGGAGGGCTAAACACTGCCTCCTGTCTCACCCTCCCCACTCCCAATACTCAGGGCCCTCCTTCAAGGTGGAAGATGCAGAAGTGAGCCCTGGGAATGCTGGGCCTACCTTCTCTTCCAATGACCCTCTCCCTAACAGAGTCCTTCCCTCCTGGATTGTGGAGAGACCCTCAAGACCCCCTTCCCTGGCCTCATTGTTCTGGACAACATTTCAGCTTTGTTCCTTCATTGGTCCCTTGTTGGAAATGATCCAGGGCCCTGACTAGAGTCAGAGATGGTTGTCTTATCCCGGCCATAGAAGCTAACCACAGGAACCACAGATGGGGGTCCTGGCTGAGTCTGTCATGTCTGTGTCAGGAGCAGAGGTGACCATTGGCAAGGTAACTTTCCAGCTAAGCCCAATGCTGACACTGTTGCTTCTGAACTTCTCCACTCAGGGCTGTGAAGCACCTGGCTCCAGACAGCCTCTCCACCCCCATCTCCTATTCTTCCCATTCCTCTTTGCAAGAAGAAGGCTCCTTGTTTCCTCTAGAAAGCATCCCATAGCTACATGACCCCCAGGTCCTATTCTAGCAGCCTGTGACCCCCTCTCTCTTGGAACCTCCAGAAAGGCTTGAATTCTTTTTCACAAAGACAACTGTGTTTCTTTGTTTTAAGACAGGCTCTCATAGCCTAAGCCTATCTTATCTGCTCAATGATGCCTAGCTAAAGTGAGCAATTTTATTTGTTCTCTGTTCTGAGTACTAAACCCAGGGTCTTGTACACACTAGGCAATCACTCTACTCGGTTCTATCCCTAGCTCTCACAAAAACAATTCTCAAGCCTACCTAACTATGATGAACAATGCCTTTTCCCCTAGTCCCTAGCTCAAGGCAGGGCACACAGTAGCTGCTCAGCAAATGCTAGTGGCTTAAATTAAGTTGGAAAAAAACTACCCACTAGTCTTTCCTGGGAAGGTACATTATGGCATCGCCACAGGAAGGTGTGAGCTAGGGAAGCTCAGGTGTACATGCCCAGGCAGAAGGCTGCCACAGCCTCAGAGTCTTCAGCACCAGGAACAGCAATATTGTTTGATCTCCACAGACATCTGTTCCTGGTCCTGCTTTGAGAAGACAAGCTGGGAACAGTCTTATTCTTGCAGGACCTATGCAAATGACTCCTCTCACAAGCCTTCGCTGGCATTGCCCCAGTAGTTCCAAAGGCGAGCTGATCACTTGAGTTGCTAAGGTCTGTTTCTCCTTGTTAAGCATGAGAGCAGAGAGCCAGGCACAAAGATATCCGGGGAATATTGGGAAACAGGCGGCATGGGAGAGCCCATCTTGGGCAGATGAGGAAGCTGAGATATCTCAGGATAAAGGACTCATTAGGTGCCCAGGAAAAGTCATAGAGACAAGCTCTGCAACCAGGTCTCCTCTTGTCTGTGTAGCCACAGAGCTCAGCTCCCCGCCAGCAGTGGGATAACGTCCACAAGGAGTGAATTTCACAAACGCTGGTCAGCGGTAGAGACTGGTTGCTCCAGCTTTCTCTCTACTGCCTCTTTGCCTGTTGCTAGTCATTTGTCTCTTCCTCCACCTCAGCACCGTGACCTCTCACCCTCTTCTCTGGTAGATGAGGAACCCCTTCCTCCTATTTGTCTTCAGTCTTCACCTCTGTGCTCCAAAGAGATGACCAAAGGCAGAGGGTGGGAATTGCAGATATAAACCTAAGCTGTGGAAAAGGTGGCTCCCTTCTATTTGACCCTCCCAGGTATGGTGGCCCTAAAATAGGATATGGTAAGCTTGAGACCTGAGGGGCCAGGCACAGAGAAATATCTGTGACCATTGAGGAATAAATTAAAATATAGTCACATGAAAAAAGCAAGTGCTGCATTCATTGGAGAAGCTGACAGAGCCTTGAGGTGAGTAGAAGTTCTGAAGGCCTGGCCCTACTGTTTCCCTCTTTTCCCTGATGTGGGCTTTCTGAAACCTCCATTCCTCTAGCGCACACGGATCTTCAGATACAACCGCTCCAGCAGTACCCACCCTCTCAGTGGCCCCTGTGAGGCCCCTTCTCTCCTGACCCTGCTGGAGAAGAGAGATGGAGCCAAGCTTGCAGTCCTCTGTGTAGTTCTTAGTACTTGAGCACCAACAAACTCTCCGGTGATCCTAGTGGATATAGGGGTGGACAGTGGGAGAGAGATCTCTTCCAGGAGTCTTCTCAGAAAGGAAACTGGGTCTTTCCAGAAGGCTCAACACCTGGACTTTGGGCCATAACTGAGCCGGTCCAAAGAACACAGCAGTAAATCTAAGCTGGGTGATGCTTGATCTAGGCAGCCCCTGAAGTCACATCCTCACTGGATCTCTCTGGAGGAAAACCACTCTAGCTAAGGGAGTGGAAATGAGACTCTCATCTTGGTTCAGGCCTCCAGGGGCAGAGCAAGAAGCTGGGAGCCTTGAGCCTGATGGTTGTGACAGATCCTCATTGGCCTGTGCTCTGTGGGCATATCAGGTGGATTTGTGAATGGGTTTATAGATGAATGAAGGGGCAGTGGGGGGAGATGTCCTCCAGCCACTCTCTTCTGTGTCTAGCCAGGCCTCTCTGCAACAAAATCCAGCCTCAAGCTGCCTCTGGGCCGTCATCTCATGCCTATAAGGGCATGTGGCCACGCCCCTTTCTAGAGTCCTGGGTTCATGGCTAATTAGGGAAGAAGTGTTGAAAAAAGAAAAAAAAGTTTCACCCTTGGCAAAACTCTGCCTGCCCCCTCCCCAGCACCAAGCCCTCCAGGGCTTCAGAAATGCTAGAGAATGCAGGCAGGGGAGCCCTCGAAGGAGTTGCACTGTTTCCACTCAGGTTGGGAAAAACTACAGCCTAGACAGCGTGGGCGGTGGGGAATTAGTTGCTGGGGTGCTCACAACCCACGAACTCGAAGGAGTGAAGGAGAGAAGGATGTGTGCGAGGCTTCTCGGCTGAAGACAACCTGTGGGAGCCCTGTGAGATTGGCCGCCCACATTGGGAAGGGGCTCCGCCTGCATCGCGAGGCTGCTGTAGACCACAGCCAGGCTCTGCTGTCCCAGCCCGCCCCCCTGCTGCCTCCCACTCACCGCAGATGCTGCCGCGGTCTCCTCTGAAGCCGCTGAGAGTCGACAGAGAGGAACTGACCACTCATCTCCGCCTGGCTTGCCCATCCTCCCAGATCCCCTACCGGGCGGTCGTTGACTGATCCAGCTCTCCCAGGCGAGGCACGGATTCAGCGACTTGAGCTGGACCAACCCCTCAAACATCAGGACACCGGGACTCCCCTCAGGAGTCAGCTGGGTCACAGCAGGGGAGTGTCCACACTCTCAGGCAAGTGAAGTGGCAGAAATTGGGAGAAAGGGGTGCTGATGATTGGGTAAGGACTCTGGAGGGATTGGGGGAGGCAGAAATTGGGGAAAGGGGGAGATGCTTACCCTGCTCTGAACTCAGAGAAAGAAAGGTACCAGACAAGGGACCAGGGACCTCTGGTCTTGAGAAAACAAGTTTAAAAGAGAAAGAGGAATAAGGGAACAGGAGACAGACTGGATGCTTTACCCCCCACTCCCCCACCTTGGTCCCTGCTGCTCTTAGCAGTTGACTCTACCCTCTAGCTTCCCTTGACCCTCTACGCTTTCTCCAATGCCCATAGCTGAGAGAAGCTGGCAGATAGCAACTCCAAATCTGAGAGACAAGTGAAGCCTGGAAGACAGCTTTCCCTGGCTTCTCCGAGCAGTGTTCCCTTTCTGTTTGTGTCACTAATAATCACAGAGCACTGAGAAGAGACAGGTACCTCAGGTGGGGCCTACAGTCCTGGACACAGGAAGCCCCATGACCAGGGGACCCTGAACTGAGGGCACACCATCTTCACAGGAAGGTAGAGCTCAGGGAACTAACTGAGGACAGAGCTCACTTGGGGACCAGCTGGTGAGCTCAGCCCCACCAGAGCAGAATCAAGAGGGGAGAATCCTGGAGGAATCTGGGCTGAGGGGACAACAGATGGTCCAGGGGGTTTAACGTGGAGAAGAAATGGGGAATGAGCAAGATCAATTACTGAGAGCAAAAAGGATGGACTGCAAAGATCCATGGCAGGGATCTAAAAGGCCCCAAGAGGGGTTCCAGGTGTGTGGAGGGGAGCCTGGGGGTGAAGGAGGGACCAGGGCCAAGCTTGAGTTGGTGGCCCTTGTGGAAAAGGGCAACAGTAAAGAAATCTACATAAAGAGGCAGTATCCCCGGGAAGGATGGCTCAGGAGGCTTCAAAAGCAGAAAGTAAACACTGACCCATGGTCATTAAGGGTTCATTAAGATGACAAAGGGTCACCAGTGAGACTGATGAATAGAGAGGCAGGAACGTGATGGGACAGAAACCAGACTCGTGTGGCCCTTGTAGGTCATGTATCCAAGAAGTGAAGGGTCTGTTAGCTCAAAACCATGATTGGCTTGGGTTGAAGATGGGACAGGCAACAGTTCCCAGGAGAAGGTGTGGTCCACTGAGAATCTCGCTCAGGCCAGAAGGGGAGTTGTGACCATGCAGTTCCAGGTATACAGTGTGCTGGTGACACCCAGTGAGTCTCTTCTCATCTCCCAGGCTTAAGAGTTTAGGTGAAGACTTGAGAAGGCAGGGGGCTGAACTGAGACAGGGTTGAGCTTTGTTGGTCAGCACTGACAGGACAGAGAAATGTGGAAATCACAAAAGCAGCTAACGTAAAGTCAGTGTGGATCACAGGCGGACAGAGAAAGCATCGGAGACTCGGGGACTATGGGGATTGGCTCTGGGGGGTGGTATGTCATCAAAGAACAGCTACAACGAGGGTCAGTGTGCAATCCTGGAACTTCAGTGGCTTAGGTGCAGACAGGAGACACAGCCTAGATTTTAGGCTGGGCCTTGCTGTGTATTACCACCAGGTATGTGACCTTGGATAATTAATTTAACCTGAATCTGTGTTTTCTCACTTGTCTAAAAGGCATGGTAATATGTTTACTTAGGATTGTCATAGGATTAAATGAATTAATGTATAGAAAGGGTGTATATCATTGTCCATTTTCTAATTCTATAGCAAAACCTAAGACTGGAGAACTTACAGTAACTTACACTATTCTGGAGACTGGGAGGTCCAAGAGAAGGGGGTTGGCCTATATTGTCTAACCATTTTTTTTTTTGAGACAGGGTCTCACTATGTATATAAGGCTGGCCTCTGCCTCCTGAGCACTGGAAGTAAAGGCATGTGCTACTTTGCCCAGTTCCTAATCACTTTTTTAAAGTGATTGGCCTTACATTCAGGCCCTGCCACTAAGAAATCTGATTGCTTCATGAGTTTGGGAGAGACAAGCCATACTTGAGCCATAGCAGCTTGGAACATCATTGGGCACACAGTAGGTGCTTTCAAAGCGTCTGTACTGTGATGGAAGTAGGGGGATAGTGGAAAACAGGATGTAAGGCTTCTCCAAGGTGAGCTGGTCCAGGGTGATTCCAAGGATGAGGAAGTCTTGGAGGTCACTATGGGGACAGGGTAGCTGAAATGGGATGAAGGAATTGGGAAATAGAAATAAGATGTCAAAGAACTAAGGGAGCACAGGCCAGGAGGACTGCAGGGCCTCAGCAAGCTAGGATGGGGAGGAGGGGTAAGTGGGGCTAGACACCAAGCCTCAGAAGGAGGTGAAGGAAGAACAGCCCCACTCCAGCAGCCTAAAGTCCCCGCCAACCATCCCTCCCATTGCTCCAGGTAGCTGAGTAAGTGACTGCTGTGGAGGCAGAGGTCTAGACTAAGTCTGTTCATACATGTCCCCTGGCTAGGAATCAGGAACACATCTGAGAGCATCAGGAAGAACTGAGAGGTAGTAAAAGACCCACAGCACAGACCCACTGTGGCCTGCATGGATACAAAGGTTGATTTAATGGACACAGGGCTGTGACTGATGCAGAATCCTTTGTCCCTTGGGCCATCCACTGTGCTAGAATGAGAGACCTTTTAAATGGGAATCCTACCTCACAGGTAGGTGTGTGACAGTGAATGGCCCATGAGGAGATCCGGAACTGCTTGCTGGCTAGAGGCATGAAGACCACTGTAAGCAGGAGGGCATCATGGGAGCACCTGAATCAGAACTCCTCACCCCATGACCTCTCCTGGGGCCACTGCTCTCAGACACCTCACTCACCCTTCACCTACACCAAGCAGGAGGCATCTAGAGGCACAACTGCTGAGCAGAGGCTCGTCCCCATCAGATGGGAATATGTCAGCCCATGTCTGCTGTTCTGCTGCAGTGTTTGGTCCATGAGTGTGCATGTAGTGAATGAGGGTGGTGGGTGTCACACACTGGGAGACAGGATGACAGAGCCCAGGAATCACACACAAACTAGAAAGCTGGACCTTCCAAACTTACTCCTCCTCAAGCATTGTGTCTAGGTGTGCATGGGTGGGTGTGTGCGTGCATGTGTGGGTGCAAGGGAGTATCTATGTATGTTTGCATATGTCAGAGGATGGGAAAACTTCTAGCCATTAACTGACTGGGAAGGGATGATGGTGTCTCTCTAGACCCTGGGGAGGCAGAATCCATTTGGCAAGAGCTGAGAACTTTCAGTGTAATGAATAAGCCCCAGCAGGCAATGAGTAACAGCAATGGGGGAGGTTCCCTGAGGATGGGTGGAGTTGAGGATAAATCGAGCATTAGTCTGAGCTTCCAGAGGAGAGGCCTTGCCCAAACTTTAGGGACTAAGAAAAAAAAAAAAAAAAAAAAACAGAAGAGTTCCCACTCAAGAGACAACAAGGGCTTTGACTGAGCAAGAAGACTGGTCACACGTGGAGGACAAAGCAGAGCCACTAGCTAATATCTTTGTCAATGTCCTGAGGCTTTACCCAGAGCAGGAGCCAGGGCTGGAGACCTAGCAGTGGCCAGGCAGTTGCTCTTATCCAACACAGAAGTCTCAGAGCCATGGTCTGAAACAGGATGACACAGGGGCTTCAGGCAGAAACTTCCCCCCAAGGAACCAACTCTTAGCTCCACCTATTGATGACTGGCCCAGCTACTAAGGGGTACCTGGGTAATTACCATCAATGGCTGCAGTCTAGTTTTGGTTTGGTTTTTTTGAGACAGGATTTCTCTGTGTAGCCTTGGCTGTCCTGGAACTTTGTAGACCAGGCTGGCCTTAAACTCAGAGATTTTTGCCTGCCTCTGCCTTCCAAGTACTAGCTCGTATCAAAGGTGTGTCCCACCACCACACGGCTTAGCTACAGACTTTAAAACAAAAAATGTGTGTGTGTGTGTGTGCGTGTGTGTAGTATCTGAGAAACATGACATTTTCTCTGACCTAAATGCTAATGCACACGTGTGTGCACCCCACAACCAGAGTCAGAACCTAGGCAGGTGCAACAGTGACTTCTTAGGGAATAGCTTAATTCAATTCAAAGCAAAGAATTTGCAGAAATGATTAAGTACAGTCATATTACTGGCTGATGGCCTCTTTTATGATACCCTGTGAATTTTTTTTAAAGATTTATTTTATGTATGTGAGTACACTGTAGCTATCTTTAGATACAACAGAAGAGGGCATCGGATCCCATTACAGATGGTTGTGAGCCACCATGTAGTTGCCGGGAATTGAACTCAGGACCTTTGGAACAACAGTCAGTGCTCTTAACCTCTGAGCCATCTCTCCAGCCTCCTGTGATGTTTTTATAGGAGTTTCTAAACAGGCTTCTATTTCCACTTTTACAAGCCTCAGGAAGTTAAGCATGGGCATTGGGTTGACAAGAGACCTCAACTCAGAGACAACCGTCACCCATTATATCCCTCCTTTTACATTCAGGCAGCTAAGGCCAAGGTCCTTAGGGGAGGTCCCAACTATCTCAAGTTCCCTATGAGCTCAAAATCCAAACCTGATGACTAATTATTCCCAAGATCCTGCCCCTGCCCCTTTTCCAACCTGCTTCTACACCAGACTCCCAGATAGAGATCACAAGGCCTTCCTGGCCAGAGGTGAGGCAGCAGGGAGAGGGAATTGTTTAGCCAGCATCATGGGTAGCAGACTTCAGTGGTCAGTGCCCTGTCTGTGCTGGAAAAAGCTCGGCAAGAGTCTCCCTCCATGACTTTTCTCATTCCAAGCCTCAATTTCTCCCATCTATAGAGGCCTTGGTGGTAGAATGTAGTGACAATGCCTGAAACTCCACCTCCTCATGAGTGTAGGGCAGAAGGATCACAAGTTCAAGGTTACCCTAGACAGCTTAGCAGTTTAGCACGACCCTGTTTAAAAAAAAAAAGTCTAAGGATCTAGCTCAGCTGTAGAGCACATGACTTCCGTGATTGAGGCCCTGGGGTTTAATCCCCAGCCTCCATGGTGACCTCCATGGACTGGACAACTTGGAGAAGTCACTAAAGCAAAGTTCTTTCAGTGCACACAATTCACAGTTCAGAGCTCTGTGCTGGGCTTGAGGGCTTTAACTGGGATGAAACACAAAGGACCAGGGGATTTACTGCAGCAACAGAAGGAGGTCAAGAGGTCAAGAGTGCTCTACTGGCCCCTCACAGGTGCGCACAGAGTCCTAGGCTCCCTGTTTCTCTCTCTGCGATACCATCTGTGGAGCTCCCTGACTACTCCCCTCTCTACCCAGGACTCCTTCTGACATTGCTCCACAATTTCAGCACAGCTCACCAGCTCTGCTTTCCCAGGTCTTAAGGACTTCATATTATAAGTCAGACTTTCCTAATAGAAGCCATAAATGCTGGAATTTGGTTTTAGGGGTTATTTTTGATGATTTTGAGAGAGACTTACTATGTAGCCCCTGCTGGCCTAGAAATCACAAAGATCCATCTGCCTCTGCCTCTCAAGTGCTGGGATTAAAGGTGTGTCCTGCTCCTGTTTTGTTTCCTTGAGAAGTCACATTCTGACATGGTGACTATACAGTTGTTGCTTCTGCATAGATCTGGTTTTACCAAGCCAGTGGTATTCCCAGAACCAGAGCCATATAGAGATCCCAAGAAAGGGATTTCAACATCCATAGATTGGATTTCATTCTTAATTCATTGTGTATGTACATGTGTAACTGTAGGTACAAACATGCTAATCACATGTGTGGAGGTCAGAGAACAACTTTTCACTTGGTTCTTTCCTCCCCTCTTGCTTTAAGCTTAAAGGGGGAGTCTTTCTTGTTTCTGCCTCTGTACTGTGTACTCCATGCTAGCCGAGCAGTGAGCTTCCAGATCATTCTCCTGCTCCACCTACCATCTTGCAATAGAGGTGCTGAAATTACAGATGCTGGCCCCCATCTGCCTTCTTACTTGTTTCAGGGACGTTTACTTGTGTTCCAGGAATCAGACTCAGGTCATCACCCTTGTGCAGTAAGCACTTTTACCTACTGACCCACCCCCCACCCCTACCCCTGACCCCACAAATAAGTTTATGAAGCTAAGTCCAACTGCAGAATCCTACGTGGTGAAATGGAGGTGGGCCTGGAATTTACTAGAATGCACTATCTAGAAAAGGGTCGGGGTCCAGATCCTGGGGAAACAGCCCTCTCAGTGAACAGCTGAACACCAGAAGCTTCATCATGCTCACAGGCCGCCCGGACCAGAGCCTCATCTGATGTTCAGGAAAGTTAGTGTCGTTGCTGTGTCTACCAGAGCTTAGTGTGGGACAGACAGCAGGTCTTGTAGGTCCTGGGTCTGGCTCTTGGGTGAACTACTAGACATCTCCGTGCTTCATTTTCTTCACAAGAGCAAGAAGAAACTAGATTATCCCCACTTGGAGGGTGGAAGGACTGTTTAAAACCCCAAAGCTGCCTTTTGGTTAGGACTAAGGAATAAACGAAAGAAAAAGGTTCATTTAACCTTACAATTAGTCTCTTGATTACAGCCTGAAGGCTTCCTGGAGGAGAGGTGAGGGTAAGATAGCAGTGGTGGGGACTCCAGGGATTAGGTGGGGAAACAATAAGCAGATCTTTTGGATGAGTTATTTCCCAGGGCTGTTCAAGATGTCCTGGGCAGCTTTCTGACACTGCAGGCAGCCACAGAAATGAGCCGATGTTGGAGGTTAATAAGCTCCTTCCCTTCTCACTCATCCTCTTGCTGTGTGCCTGCAGAACCCTGACATGTGTGCCATTCTGGGCAGGCAGCGGGACAGAGCTTGACGCGTACAGGGCGTGGACCAGCCAATGCCGCAAGCAAAGAGGAGCACAGTGACCCTGCCCCCAGCGCCCCAGGGCCGTTCCCGAAGCCTTCTGCAGGGCCTGCCGTCGCCCGCTCTATGCTGTGCCTGTGGCTTGTGCGTGCTGCTGGCAGGCCTGAACGTGACACTAGTGGGAGCTTTCGCCGCCTTCCTGCCAGGACACAACGTGCCGCTAGTGGTGGGGCCTGCTCTGCTCGTGCTGGCGCTCGGCTTCTTTGCTGCTTGCTGCGTGTGCAGCCGCCGGGGCCCCGTGCCCCGCGCGCGCTCCTCTGCCCCGGTGGGCCAGGGTGGCGGGCGTCCGGGGACTGTGGCACTGGAGATGGAGAGCAGCGAGCGCACGGCGCAGGACACGACGGCGATGCAGCTCAGTCCAGCAGCCTCGGCTGCATCCTCCGGCCGCTCCAGCCCCGGCCCGGGCCTCTTTGCCCTAGACCCTCCCGTGCCTGCAACCGCGGCCCCCTACATGCCGCACACCGAAGGGACCCAGCTCAACTTCCCTAGGGACCTGGCAGCTTCCTAGTGAGCCAGGAGAAACGGCGAGGGGGACTGTAGTGGGGGTGGGGGGAAGGAAAGGCCCAAGACTGAGCACCAGTGGCCTCATTTGTACCGTCTCTAGAACACTACACTCTAGAGTGTAGTGATGGGATTGGCTTTCACACCCCAAAGAGTGCAGAGCTTTGACCTCTTAGGTGGAGTCTCTAAGTTTTACTTCATCCTCCCCTCCTCCTCTCCACACTGATGAAACTGGACCTTGGATCTGGAAATCTGTCCCTCCCCCTGGCGTTTGAGCACGATGGAGGAAATCTCTTCCAATCTCGAGGATCTAGGTAGGCCCTCGGAGTGGAAAGAGGGATGAAGGTCGAGCTAGCTCTACCAGGCCCCGTGCACGGTGACAGGCATCTAGCCCTCCTGCCCTTCTCCTCCTTGTCTCTAGTCCAACAAGCCCTTTAGGCAACAAAGGTTCTGACTTCAGGATGGTCCCTGGGATAAGCTGGAGGGAGCACACCCATATTTTCTGTCTGACAAAGGTCGGGGGAGCTGAGGTCCTCCGTGGTGAGGAGTCTTTTCAGCCCTGAAGGTCTGTGTATGATTTTCACTGCTAGCCATGCCCACCGCCATAACTGTGTTACACCGTGCATTCCAGCTGCGCCTCACACAATAAAGCCCCTTCTGAGTCAGTACTCCGTGATGTGCAGGGGGGGAGGGGCTGACTGGGGGCCTCTGATGAACACCTGGATCCTGGAGTGGTGGCAGCCTATAGCTAAACACTTCAGCATCCTGGCACCAGCCCTCCTTGGAGATCTAGAAGGGAAGAGGAATGTGTGACTGGACAAGATGGTCTCTGAGACCCTGTATACCTGGGAATGTCCATGGGAGAAGCTGTCAGATGTGAGGCTGTGGGTAGGAGTGATTGCTTGGATCCTGTGAGCGACGTGTGTCAGTGTTTAATATATCTATTGACATCACACACATGTAGGGAAGCTTATAGGGTAGCTGTTGAGAGTGTGGTCACCCAGCACAGGCAGGGAAGGGAAGAGAGCTCCAAGGACCATGCAAAGCCCAGACCGTCTTCAAGCTTAGCTAGCTAGGCTTGAAGTTTGGGCCCAGCCTGTGATCTGAGCAGATGGATAAGGGCTCCTGGTGTAGATATAAGGAAGACCCTAGCAAGAAGGCCCAGGGAACAGAAGACTAGGGGAAGGTTCTGTGACTCTGAGCTAGCCCCTCTTCTCATTTCAGGTACCTAAGTAAGAACTGATGGTGGTCCATGCTGGCCCATCATCCCTTGACAGTGGTAACTCCTTGGCCAGCCACTCTGGGCTTTATCAGCCCTCCTTTATCCATGCGGGGCTTGACTGAGGACCAGGAACTTTCCAACAGCCCTGGGGCTCTTTCTTCATCTTCCTTCCTTGTCCTCTTCTCCTGCTGTCTCCCAGGGACCTAAATGAAAGCAGATTTACCAGCAAGTTAATTTGTTCACACAAGCCAGTAATCTAACCTTTGAAGCACCCAGTACCTGGAGCATATAGCCTCTTCTTGGAACATCTTGTCACCTCTATTGGGTATGTGTTGGTGTGCATGTGTGTATGCACATGTGTGTGTTTGTGGCCGTTCCCAGACTCAAACTCTTCTGAGTCAGTGCTCTGCTATCCCAAACACCAACTGCTTCTGCTTCCTTGAAAGTGGCCAGAAGGAGAGGTTCCCATTGATGCTGTCTTAGGTGTGATCTGGACCTCCCTTCCCTCCACGTCATAAGAGGTGACACCTACAATACACCTACAATGTTAGGCCTAGCCCAAAACCCTCTCCCAACTGACAGATACCCTGAATTACACCCTCAGGGCTCTTTATCCCACACACAAGAAGATTCCCTGATCTTGTTCTGAAGTTAGCTACTGGAGAGAAGGACTGGACTCAGATAAGGATTCCGGTAAGTGGAACAGCGGATCACAAATCAGTAGTGTGAGCGGACTTGTGAGAGAGAACGAGATGGGGGAATTGACTCCCTAGAGCCCCTTCCTGCCACCCCCAGCTGAAGATGATTATTTCTTTCATCTGAACACACTCCATCTTCTCAGACACACAAGTGCCCTGGGGCCCACTTTCCAATCAGTCCCAGCAAAGCGCCTTGGGGTCTCCAGACCTGTCACCCAGGGTCTCTTCCCTTTGTACAGTCTCCCAGTGCAAGCTAAGGGACAGACCCTTTCAGTGCAGTGTGTCTGGTGAGCGCAGCCTCATTCTCTGTGTGTAGTGCTACTAAAGAAGAGCTCTACGCTCACACTCCGAAGGCCCCTCCCAGGCAGGCCACTGGGAGGCTGCTTCTGTTAAGATGAGGATGAGATTCTGACAGCAAGTTTCCTGACCTGGAGGAGTCCTTGAGGGCCTGGTAATGGCTGCAAGGGGCACAGCAGAGGACTAAGCCCTCTAACCTGACCCCATGATTCCCCAGAGGTGCAGGGTTACAGGAAAAACACAGAGCTGATCCTTCTGAAAAGATAGTGCTTCCCAGGATTTGCCAGGGGAATTTGGGGTGGTCCAGGAAGCCCTGCATCTCAGAGGAAGTTGCTGATGACCTGAACTAGGGAATCCACAAGGGGTCAGAAACTGGGATGTCTTCCTTCTAGTCCTACTAGGAGAAATGAGGGTAACCACTGAGAGCCAGTTTTTATAAATGAATTCGACAGATAATTCCTGAACCTTACCATGTGCCCAGCACTGGGGTTATACATCTTACCTGGGGAAGCAGACAGTAAACAGGACTAGAGAGATGCTTCAGTAGGTAGTAGTGCTTGGTGCAGAAGCATGCGGAACTGAGACCAGATTTTAGAACCAATGGAAAAAGCTGAGCTCTGCCATGCCCTTGAGTATAACCCAGTGTGCTGCTAACGGGTATGGAGTATCAACGGGGCTCGCTGGCCGCCAACTGAGCTCCAGAGTCAGCTTGAGGTGTCCTGTTTCAAGAGCATGAGCAGAGAGTGACATAGCAGGACATCTGATGCTCTCTTCTGGACACTGTACCTGTGCACACATGCACATATGCCATGTTCTCTCTCTCTCTCTCTCTCTCTCTCTCTCTCTCTCTCTCTCTCTCT